TCCCCCGCTTTCAACAAGTGTGCACCAAATGTAACGATAATTGTACAGAGGACGAAATTCACTGCTTACTGATATGTATCAAATTCAGTAAAGATGGGAAAGAATCATTTCACAAGTGTAACATGTATACCACAACCTCCAAGTCATAGGTCCATCAGAAAAACAACGATTTTCTGATCTTTTTGTCGACATCTCTAGGTAGTTTTTCATCTGATCTAAGTCATGTGCCAAGGTCCCAGTAAACCGAATATTGTCAGTTTTATAATAAAATGTACACGCGCTTATACAAATAATATTTCAATAATAATGTCCATCAACCTGGTTTTTTGGCTACTCTACTCCATGTTTACATGTGTATGTATACATTGTTGCCTTACGTGGGCCGAAATCCGTTGATATTCTACTCGTACTTTTGTCTCCCTGTACCGACGGAAGGTCTGTCCATTGACTTGTCAGATCTTTCTATTGCTAATAATATAATTGTCACCCCCTGAGACAAATTATGTATGTCATCCGCCTGTCTCGCCCCTATCACCAGTAACGCCCCCGTCCCTGCATTGCCATGGTACCCGACATTGATGTTGGTAATATTCTAGCAAAATGACCAAAACTTCTTCATATTTTTTCAACAATTCTCCTCTACCCTGTCTCCCCAAGTCAGTCACTTCCTCAGTCCCTTTTTCTTAAGGTACCACAATAGTGTATTATGTCACCTCTACTCTGCCTTCCCAGGGCAGTCAGTTTGTTTCTCTTCCGGTACCACAATAGAATGTCCTCATGTCACCTATACTCTGGCTTTCCAGGACAGTTCCTCGATTTCTTTGACTTCCGGTAGTAGAGTCTCCTCACGTCTCCTATATTTTGCCTTCTCAAGACAGTTTCTCTGTGCCTTTTGACTTCCGGTACTACAATACAGTGTCCTGTCAGAACGTAGAATCTTCTATTCTAAATCGTGCATGTCTGTCCCGAAGGTCGCAGCAAGGATGTTGTGACAACTAGTACCCGTCTCTATCTAGATTGCACTCAACAAGCACATGATTTCACGAAGTAGACGATGTTTTTTTTAATCCGTTGATATATATATATTTAATAACTACTTGTCGTCGTGAACATTTCAAAATCCTCCGTGTGTACGGCCTTGGAAAGCCACGCCCGCTAAAGCTATCAAGCTAAACATGTTGATTAGTCATCGTTACTAGCTCTGTGCCAAATACCTTCGCTCATTTCACAAGTAGTTTCCCACTTGACATACTTTCTGCACGTCTCAAACCTTCTTTTTAAAACCAAAATCGTTTTAGTTGGTGTGAACGAAACTAGAACAAATGACTATATCAGCTTCTGTACATTTATCAAGGCAAAAATATAACTAAAACTCATTAAGTCATAGACATTCATAAACACATATTCCTTAGCATCCACCACATGTATTTGGTTTGCAGGTTGTGTGCAGGGAAATCAGAAATGCACAGGACATCCACGTAGGTACAACGGTAAGCTGTGTGGCTCTACCACAAGGTACCACGACTCCCATAAAGGGGCGTGTGGGTGTGGCCATGGGGATACGCCCTTCCGTTGGAACCAGGATCATTACGTAGCTGCTGCCAATCAGATGTATTTTGACTCCGGCCGTAAGACTTGGTGTGGATCGAAGTGTGGGCAGTGCGTAAAACTAACTACTACAGGTAATGAATTAGAACACAGGAGAGTTTGTGAGAGTGACCACAACAGGTAATAAATTAGAACACAGGAGAGTTTGTGAGAGTGACTACTACAGGTACAACAATATAACACAGGACAGTTTGTGAGAGTGACCACTACAGGTACAACGTTATGACACAGGACAGTTTGTGAGAGTGACCAATACAGGTAATACATTATAACACAGGACAGTTTGTGAGAGTGACCAATACAGGTACTACATTATAACACAGGACAGTTTGTGAGAGTGACCAATACAGGTACAACGTTATATCACAGGACAGTTTGTGAGAGTGACCACTACAGGTACTACATTATAACACAGGACAGTTTGTGAGCGTGACCACAACAGGTAATACTAGTTAACTTGGTGCGTATTATAACAGCAGGTAGTTTGTAAATGAGCGCTTGGTTGATTGATTTATTTAAAATCCAGCTAAATGTAGGATATTACGTAGTCGGATAAGGTTACTTGTCGCATGTACTTATCTTACTTGTTGTTGTAGGTGGGTATGTGGATGGTCAAGGCGGTTATACAGGTGAAGGTCAGTCGAAGGTTTTCATGGTGACCAACCTTTGCCCCGCCGTGGATCCCAACATGGCTTGGTGCGCTCAAAGTGCGGCGCCGTGGGCTGGCGGTACCAATACATTCGGTTACGCCTACCATTTTGACCTGGAGAACGGCGGCGGTCAGATTGGTCGTCTCGGCTGGAATAACCCGGAAGTGACTGTTGAGGAGGTTTCATGTGATGGCCACGAGGGTTTGACCCCGAATAGTGGCTATTATCGTAGCTGTGAATGTCATTGAATGTATGTAGATGTGTGAAAGATTATTTATCCATTAAACTTGTCAATAAAGCAATGACTTCATTATTTTTCACATCTTGAGTGAAAGCTGAAAGATACGCTCAAACTGAAGATAAATTAGTGACTCCTGATAGAAACGCATATTAGGCTTTGGAATGTATCTCAAAATCCAAGACATTGAATGTAGCAGTTTATACATAGAGATATAGATGCATAGAAAAATGATAGTCAAAATATCCTGTATAAACAGAAATGGTAGCAAAAGCGAAAACAACAACAACAACGAACAAACAAACAAGGAAATTACAGGCAAAACGCGCACCACAATTCGCATTGTGGCACTCTCCTCTGTAACGAACGATGTCTCTGGGATATGGAAAGAAAATACGGATGGAACTCCACACAAACATGGAATTTCTGTGAAGGCGGGTGGTCGACAGTTATCGGTGCAGAGGTGGATTCATGTGAAACCGGATTGTCTAGGACTTTTTATAACATGGAAAAGAAAGAAAGAGGTGACTGAGGTAGGCGTTTGACGATAGAATGCAGTTTACAATGATTCGCTTTGACTGGTCAATCACAGACGATATCAAATATCATGTTATAGACTTTCAGGTCATTAGGCGGAATGGATTTCGTTTCATCTAAAAGAAAAGTCAGACATAATTGAGCATAAATAAGTATGTTGAAGACTTTTTGTTCTGCTATCTAACATGTGCCCAATTCAAGAACATGGAGGATACAAGGATTTATATAATATTTATGGGTCTGTAGACGAGGATATCTCAACACTGGTGCTGGGATATCCCTGTACAAAGAATATTCCATGTTTTATTTTTTTCTCGTACTTTTAAAAGAAAAAAAACATTAGTAAATGGAAGTTGTGAAACATCGCGCCATCATCAATAGCAATATCGCATGAACTTGTGCGTAGAAATAGATGACGTTATCAATTCGCGACACGTTTTCTGTGTATGAAATGATAACGCTTACCCTATTGTGAAAAACGTCATAATGCGTGTTTCTGTTTTTCCCTGCGAAAGGAAAAGACAGGTAACCCTGGTAAAAATACTAGCTCAAAAATATTGTCAAAATTGCATAGAAACAAAACCTAGTCTTCGCTTTTTTCATTTCAAATTCTTTAATTCGACCAAATTACCTCCCTTTTAGGTTACACACAGCAAGACAGTTGGATATGACGTCATTTTAATCAAGAAACAGGAAAACATCTAGTGGATAGAGTCCGAGATGTTCCAGGTACATGATGTCAGTACATCACAAAGTGTGTCGTGGAGTTTGGTGTGAGGAGGTAGATCTATAGGAAACGTACACTCTCGTCAGAACTGAAGTGGATTACGGGGTCACGGTCACTTTTACTCTCTGCACCCAGGGACATGTCATGACAAAACTGAAGGTTCCATGAGCAACATCTTATGGACAAGATTAAAAGGCTAAGTTGATCCTTTGATGTACATCAGACGAATCTCAAGGTCGCATAACGGTACATTGTAATGGCTTTGGAGATGAGAGTGGTTTGTTTGTAATCTTCTAAAGGAGCGTATCAGCCTGTGATTGGTCAGGTTGTTTTCTTTTCTCCTGGAACCAATCAAATGATTTCGCTTGTGACTCCAATTTTGCCATGACATGGCCCTAATGCTCTTTTATGTGTTGACGGGTCGTTAAGATAATAATAATAATAATAATAATGTTCAAAGTGATCTTAACACCTGGAGAATCGAAGATGTCCAGCAAATAGAATTGGTTTTTTTTCAATATATTCGACAAATACAATATCATGATGATCAGTTTTGAGTTGTTCACGTGCAATCTCGCACACATTGATACCAGCGGACGGAGAGGTCATATCTTTGTCTGGCATTACAGCTCTATAACTAATTTTACCATACACTGTCCCACTTTCCGTCGATGAAATTAAAACACGAACTTTTACTAAGGTCAAAAGAATGTCAATTTGAGAAGGTTGATTACGTCGTGTTATGGTTTGCTTATCACATTAATTTGGTGTGACTTTGACAAAAATAAGTCTAATTCCCGTGACTAGATTTTTCGTGTCAATCATGTTTTACATAAATTTATGTGTAATGCTAACTCTTCATTACCGAGACTACTTATTGATGCTCTATAATAAATAATCACAGAGCTAAACGATATTATTCCGGTCACGTGTTCTATAACTCTTTGTATACCCTACAATTATATATCTATAAGTATTAATTAATCGCTTTACGTTATATATATATACACTGTCAAATTATCGAGGATCTGCTAATCAAGACTAGAATTCAGTGTTTAAGGTCATTAGAAGGTTTCCATGTTTGATGAAAACATCATTTTCTTTCATAACTAAAATTCAACTTTTGCTATTGTGTGTGCGGAATGCTTATCGGTCAAAAAGGTTACTCCTAGGTTGGGGTTATCAGAAGTTATCGCGCCTATAAAAAGGCCGTCTGATGTTTCCTGCACTATCTATCGCCATGATCATCACATACCTCACCCTGTTTCTCCTCCTTGGTGAGTACAAACGTTTATTAATCAACCGTAATCATTTAAATATAAAAGAATGTGTATTTAACTATTTAGCGAGAATCCATTACAAAAAAGTAAATAGACTGAACAACATATTAGGAAAAATACGTTATATTGATGAAGTTAGAAAAAGGAAAAAACAACATTGTCCATCATTTCCATAATCCAGATTGATTGACAAAGCATAAAGATCTATGAGGAGAAATTCTGCGTTATATGTCTACGGTGATTTTCCCGTCAATAGAATTCATTGTTCAAGCAATTGGAGTGAACACCACGATTTTATTTATATAAGAATATTATACGTCGATGTTACATGGAATCAATTAAACGGTTCCTACGAGACTTTTGTTATCAATGACAATTGTGATAGAATGTTGGTGTTAGTTATGTATGCAGATAAAAATATAGCAGTCAGTCCAAGTGCTCATTAGACAGATACAAGACAATTTCTCGTGAATGACGTAATTTTGATAATATTTTGAGTTTAGATCATAGGAAAATATCTACCCATTAAAGTCATTAATGAGCTACAGGCCATGAACAAACGAAATTAAAATATGTAGTTTAAAAGGTCGTCGTAACAAAAAATACGTGCCCTTACTATGGTGGTCAACAACCTCCTTAATATACCCTAACTATGGTGGTCAACAACCTCCTTAATATACCATAACTATGGTGGTCAAAAACCTCCTTAACATACCATAACTATGGTGGTTAACAGCCTCTGTTACGTGATTGTACAATGGTGGCCAACAGCCTCTGTTACGTGATCTAACTATGGTGGTCAACAACCTCCTTAATATACCCTAACTATGGTGGTTAACAGCCTCTGTTACGTGATTGTACAATGGTGGCCAACAGCCTCTGTTACGTGATCTAACTATGGTGGTTAACAACCTCCTTAATATACCCTAACTATGGTGTTCAACAACCTCCTTAATATACCCTAACTATGTTGGTTAACAGCCTCTGTTACGTGATTGTACAATGGTGGCCAACAGCCTCTGTTACGTGATCTAACTATGGTGGTCAACAACCTCCTTAATATACCCTAACTATGGTGGTTAACAGCCTCTGTTACGTGATTGTACAATGGTGGCCAACAGCCTCTGTTACGTGATCTAACTATGGTGGTTAACAACCTCCTTAATATACCCTAACTATGGTGTTCAACCCTAACTATGTTGGTTAACAGCCTCTGTTACTGATCTAATATAACAACAATATACTATCCTTAATATACCATAACTATGGTGGTTAACAGCCTCTGTTACGTGCCCTAACTATGATGGTTAACAGCCTCTGTTACGTGATTGTACAATGGTGGCCAACAGCCTCTGTTACGTGATCTAACTATGGTGGTCAACAACCTCCTTAATATACCATAACTATGGTGGTTAACAGCCTCTGTTACATGATCAAACTGTGGTGGCCAACAGCCTCTGTTACGTGATCTAACTATGGTGGTCAACAACCTCCTTAATATACCCTAACTATGGTGGTTAACAGCCTCTGTTACGTGATCTAACTATGGTGGTTAACAGCCTCTGTTACGTGATCTAACTTTGGTGATGACATACACAAGCTAGGTACATACTGAGGTCATTGTGGTAGATTGATCACATTCAGCCATTTCTAATCATGGTTCAGTCTATATCATTTCCGGTAAACTTTTAAGTGACGATAAATCTGTAGGTATTGGTGGTTTTATATTAATGTTCTATCAACATCTAGGGATAGTTATTGACAGCCTCCCTATATAATTTGGTACATTGGTCAAGTGACTCTTTAAGATTTTATACCATCTAGTTCACGATAACTTCATTTATTGATTAATATTTATTTATCAGTTCCGTTTACTATGTTTGTAAGAAACAGCTCCAACTCTATTTTTTATATAACATTCGGCTTACAGGCTGTGTGCAGGGATATCAGAAATGCACAGGCAGTCCTCGGAGATACAATGGTAAGCTGTGTGGCTCTACCACAAGGTACCACGACTCCCATAAAGGGGCGTGTGGTTGTGGCCATGGGGACACGCCCTTCCGTTGGAACCAGGACCATTACGTAGCTGCAGCCAATCAGATGTTCTTCGACTCCGGTCGTAAGACTTGGTGTGGATCTAAGTGTGGACGCTGTGTTCGACTGACCACCACAGGTACTGATTTACAGACAAGACCACCACAGGTTCATGTATACAGACTATGCTACATACCTTTCTATGTATGATGTATGGTGAGTATGATACTGTCCACTACAGGTCAGTATAAGAAGTGTAATATGCTGACCTGCAAGTATGGGTCTGACTATGGTTATGACCACTACAGGTATGGGATACTGACCACTACAGGAATGGCGTCTTGGATACTGACCATTACAGGTAAGGAGTCTTGGATACTGACCACTACAGGTAAGGAGTCTTGGATACTGACCACTACAGGTATGGTGTCTTGGATACTGACTACTACCGGTATGGAGTCTTAGATACTGACCACTACAGGTATGGAGTCTTGGATACTGACCACTACAGGTATGGAGTCTTGGATACTGACCACTACAGGTATGGAGTCCTGGATACTGACCACTACAGGTATGGAGTATGACCAAGATACTGACCACTCCAGGTATGGAGTCGTGGATACTGACCACTACAAGTATGGAGTCTTGGATACTGATCACTACAGGTATGGAGTCTTGGATACTTACCATTACAGGTAAGGAGTCTGGGATACTGACCACTGCAGGTATGGAGTCTTTGATACTGACCACTACAGGTATGGAGTCTTGGATACTGACCACTACAGGTATGGAGTCTTTGATAGTGACCACTACAGGTATGGAGTCTTGGATACTGATCACTACAGGTATGGAGTCTTAGATACTGACCACTACAGGTATGGAGTATGACCAAGATACTGACCACTACAGGTATGGAGTCTTGGATACTGACCACTACAGGTATGGAGTCTTGGATACTGACCACCACAGGTATGGAGTCCTGGATACTGACCACTACAGGTATGGAGTATGACCAAAATACTGACCACTCCAGGTATGGAGTATGACCAAGATACTGACCACTACAAATATGGAGTCTTGGATACTGACCATTACAGGTAAGGAGTCTTGGATACTGACCACTGCAGGTATGGAGTCTTGGATACTGACCACTACAGGTATGGAGTCTTTGATACTGACCACTACAGGTATGGAGTCTTGGATACTGACCACTCCAGGTTTAAATTCTGACTAAAGTTCTGATCATGATACCAAAGATATTGGGACTGATTGTGACAACACTGATCACAACACGACGCCTGATCTCTGATGTTCAACGGCTAGTTAGAGATAACCAGAGGTTCTGAAATATGGGAAAGCACACACACGCACGCACGCACGCACGCGCACGCACGCACGCACGCACGCACGCACGCATGCATAAATAAAAATTTTAAAAAAATCAATATTCTTGATTATTTCATAGCTGTAAATATATTGAGATATGTAGATATACTTTGAATGTTCAGTTTGCCTTTAACGCTCTCGTTTCAGTGGCAACGATTTGAGAATTGTTCACTAACCACCGGTTAACTTTAACTAACCTTTTTAGTATTCTCACTGTGACGTTAAACCACTTAACACATGTTCAGTAGGTATGGATGGTTAAATTCCTACTATTTTGGATGGATAAATATCATGTAAAATGCTATATTTTTTCTTTTGTTGTGAAGGTTTACGCGAGTTAATGGTATCTGACAGTGTAGGGTATTACGATACCGTAGTATGATTGCTGACAACATGAAGCGTTGAATATGGTGTGCACAAAGATTTTTTAAAACATTTTACCAAATAATTATCCCGTATGCGCCATTCCAGGCCTTACCTTGTTATAAACATATCAGGATAGGTCTAAATACACATGCTGCACGTGCTCAAGATCGTGTCTTCTCCGTGTTGTAGGTGGGTATGTAGATGGTCAAGGCGGTAACACAGGTGAAGGTCAGTCGAAGGTCTTCATGGTGACCAACCTTTGTCCCGCCGTGGATCCCAACATGGCTTGGTGCGCTCAAAGTGCGGCGCCGTGGGATGGTGGTACCAATACATTCGGATACGCCTACCATTTTGACCTGGAGAACGGCGGCGGTCAGATTGGCCGTCTCGGCTGGAATAACCCGGAAGTGACTGTTGATGAGGTCTCATGTGATGGTCACGAGGGTATGACTCCGAATAGTGGCCTTTATGGTAGCTGTGAATGTCACTGAATGTATGTACATGTATCAGCGTCTATTGAACCAATAAACATGTCAATATTTAGTACAATGATTGTGCACGTGGTTGATCTTAGAGGTATGATTGTTTTAGTATCCACGTACAAAAACTTGGCGTACACATAAAAGAAGATGCTCCCGAGGTCTGTATCACTCACCTGGTTCCTACAGCTGTCACTTCAAAACATAATTATATTGTTACATTTCCCCAAAAATACAGAGAATCATGAAGAGTCAACTAAATTTCGACAAAAATACATTCATCCAGGCAGGAAAAGAATTATTGCAAACATTATCTGCATTTCCCACCACAGGGACTTGGCATGAATTCCCAACCCATGGTCCAGTTACAACAAGGGATGTATACGTAACTGCTCATATGTTCTTATATTCTAAGGACCGTTTATCTTAACAACACATAGATACCTTTAAGAAGAAAAGTGTTATCATCCCACTGAGTGTATGATGAAAGAGGTTGGCCAAGTACTGACAGGACAAATTAGGAAATATATGTGAGAATAGCTAGGTAAAGCATGATGCCAAAAATATGTCCCCCGACATATCAAACATGGCCGTCATATGAAAACAAAATTTTGTAAAAAAAAATGTTTCCCTACCTGTGAATGGATAATTTTTTGTATGTGTTTGGTTATGTTGCCATTCCCGATAACAAATTCACAATCACTGTAGTACATATATGAACCATGGGTTGGAAATTTGTGCCAAATCCCCTGCCCCTTTGCATACCATTGATTAATAGAAAATCGAGTCTCCTTCAGCCAAGGAAAGGAAAGAGTCCAAATACTTGCATTGCAGTAGAATATTACTGAAATAGTAATAAAACAAGACGACTATATATGTGTACCTGTCATTTTGCATTCGCCATCCTTTAGTCCCTTTAGTCCCTACATGGACAAAAACCTACGTATACAGGGACCAAGAGATGCCTACAAAGGTAATTTGAGTATGATTTAACCAGTGCTTCTAAAAGTTAATAAAATAAAATACAGTAAAACTTCGATGTGTCGAAGTTCAAGGGACCGTCGAGAAAACTTCGATACATCGGGACTTCGACTCATGAGCAACTGCAACCTATAAATGATGGTCACTTCTCTGCCAATTAGATTATCTGATCTGTACAATGCACAATATGTTCTACATACATTTCAAGTTTAGGATATTCACCATATAAAGCAAAAAACCCATCACTTTATATGGCAACAGATATTCAGTACACATTTTACGATAAGAATTAGGAAGAGAAGAATGACAGTACAAAATAAGTTTACAGACTGCACAAATCTCTAATGCTTACACGTACCCATTAATGCAAAATCTCTAATGCTTACACGCACCCTTTAATACAAAATCTCTAATGCTTACACGCACCCTTTAATGCAAAATCTCTAATGCTTGTGTCATTAACTAGACAATATATAGGACGTTGAGTAATTGTCATGGTAAGCTACACATGATGCCAGAAACAAAAAGTCAATTAAGGACTAAACACCGCCTCCAAATTAAAAAATAACAATAGTTATTTATACAGCCACGGATACAGTCGTACTTGAGGATGCTCCGTAGCCGACGGGGAAATTTTCGTCGATAATTTGCCGATAAGGAGGTAATTATCGATACATATAGTATAGAAGTGATCAGGAGACCATCCTAGATTTAGTGTGAATTCGTGGATAAGAAAATATACGCAAAATAACAGATAAAATGACTAAAGGCAAAACCGGAAGTGCAAGAAGTAGCAAGAAATCGGCTTCTCAAGTGGGATCCATCTCGGAAGAGTCCTTCAACGACGCATTGATGGAGGAACAGTATAACTGCAAGATATGCTCGAAAGAAGCAAAGAAGTACATGAAGTGTGATGGATGCCAGGACCTTTTCTGCATCAGATGTCTGGATTTTTATTCAAAGAAATATGACATCCTATCAAAATTAGATATAATGTGGTTTTGTCCATCATGCAGAATAACAGTCGAAAAGAATATTCTCACGGACAGTAAAATAGAAGAGAGGTGTAGGAAATCACGCAAGATTATGAAGATAGAATTGCGGAACTTGAAAGAGAGGTAAAACGGTGAATTGATTAACTGGAAATGAACTTGAAATGTGAGAAATCTGCACCAAGCAAAGACGAAATAGTTGCTGAAATTAAAGAGCGAGCAGAGAGGGAAAACAACATAATTCTATTTGGAGTTCCGGAACAGTCCCATCACGACGGAAAGAAACGTATGGAAGAAGATGCTAAAGTTTTAGGAAATTTATTAGAAGTCTGTGGAGTGTCAAACAAAGATAGGCCTGGAAAAATTATACGATTGGGAAAGAGACCAGAGTCCAGTGACATAACCAACAACAGCCGGCCTGTTCTAGTTCGTTTTGAGTCTCAATAACCAAGTAAAGGAATCTTTAAAAATATTAGAAAAATAAGAAATATTAGTCAACTTTCCTCAATAGGAATAAGAAACGACTAAACACACTGTGGAAGAGAAGCAGAGAAGGCGTAGCGAAGCAGAAAACAATGAAACGGAGAATTATATATAAAGAGGAAACTTTTAATGTCATTTCAACCTGAGAATAGTGAAATGGTTTTGCTATTAAGCATTTAATTGGCTATACATATGTAATAACTGAGAATCTTAGAATTTTTTAGGAAATATCTGATCATCATATAATTTTAGATATGGATATAGAGGCATTTGTTTTGCCTGCGTCCATTATTTACATATTACTAATAGTTTTGGTTATATCGTAATTTCGACCAATCAGAAACCTCCAATGTGTTTCGATGGTAACGGTTTTGAAGCACCTAATATGTCAAATTATTGGCTATAATCAGATGCAGCAATTGATCAAGTTTAAATAGAATCAATTAAAAGTGTATGAGTTATAGCACTTAACATAAAATTTTGTGTACCATGGGTATAACAAGATTACTGGACTTCTAACAAAAAGGAAGTTTAGTTATGTAATAATCAAATAGGCTTGTCAATGAGACAGGGTTAAAACTTTTCAGTAAATGTGTCAGAATTTCTATTTTGACCATTGTGTAACTACAACTTTGTGTTCCTGTACACCTGTGTACCGCGGATAGGACTACAGACCATTGTGTAACTGTACATATGTATCATTGTACACTCTTGTGTCCCTGTACACCTGTGTACCGCGGATAGGACTGCAGACCATTGTGTAACTGTACATATGTATCATTGTACATTCTGGTGTCCCTGTACACCTGTGTATTGTTGTGTAACTGTACATATGTATCATTGTACACCCTGGTGTCCCTGTACACCTATGTACCGCGGATAGGACTGCAGACCATTGTGTAACTGTACATATGTATCATTGTACACCCTGGTGTCCTTGTACACCTATGTACCGCGGATAGGACTGCAGACCATTGTGTAACTGTACATATGTATCATTGTACACTCTTGTGTCCCTGTACACCTGTGTACCGCGGATAGGACTGCAGACCATTGTGTAACTGTACATATGTATCATTGTACACCCTTGTGTCCCTGTACACCTGTGTACCGCGGATAGGACTGCAGACCATTGTGTAACTGTACATATGTATCATTGTACACTCTTGTGTCCCTGTACACCTGTGTACCGCGGATAGGACTGCAGACCATTGTGTAACTGTACATATGTATCATTGTACACCTATGTACCGCGGATAGGACTGCAGACCATTGTGTAACTGTACATATGTATCATTGTACACCCTGGTGTCCCTGTACACCTATGTACCGCGGATAGGACTGCAGACCATTGTGTAACTGTACATATGTATCATTGTACACCCTGGTGTCCTTGTGTGCCTATATATCAGTGTGACTGCAGACCATTGTGTGCCTATAAAGCATTGTGTCACACCATCCTGTGTTCCTGTAAATCTTTGTGTGCTTTGTGTGCCTATATATCAGTGTGACTGTAAACCTTTGTGTGCCTATACATCAGTGTGACTGTAAACCTTTGTGTGCCTATACATCAGTGTGACTGTAAACCTATGTTCACCTATACATCAGTGTGACTGTAAACCTTTGTCACTGTATATCAGTGTGACTGTAAACCTATGTTTACCTATACATCGGTGTGACTGTAAACCTATGTGTGCCTATACATCGGTGTGACTGTAAACCTTTGTGTGCCTATACATCAGTGTGACTGTAAACCTTTGTGTGCCTATACATCAGTGTGACTGTAAACCTTTGTGTGCCTATACATCAGTGTGACTGTAAACCTTTGTGTGCCTATACATCAGTGTGACTGTAAACCTATGTGTGCCTATACATCAGTGTGACTGTAAACCTTTGTGTGCCTATACATCAGTGTGACTGTAAACCTATGTTTACCTATACATCAGTGTGACTGTAAACCTTTGTGTGCCTATACATCAGTGTGACTGTAAACCTATGTGTGCCTATACATCGGTGTGACTGTAAACCTATGTTTACCTATACATCGGTGTGACTGTAAACCTTTGTGTGCCTATACATCAGTGTGACTGTAAACCTATGTTTACCTATACATCAGTGTGACTGTAAACCTTTGTGTTACTATACATTAGTGTGACTGTAAACCTTTGTGTGCCTATACACCAGTGTGACTGTAAACCTTTGTGTGCCTATACATCAGTGTGACTGTAAACCTTTGTGTGCCTATACATCAGTGTGACTGTAAAACTTTGTGTGCCTATACATCATTGTGACTGTAAACCTTTGTGTGCCTATACATCAGTGTGACTGTAAACCTTTGTGTGCCTATACATCAGTGTGACTGTAAACCTTTGTGTGCCTATACATCAGTGTGACTGTAAACCTTTGTGTGCCTATACATCAGTGTGACTGTAAACCTTTGTGTGCCTATACATCAGTGTGACTGTAAACCTTTGTGTGCCTATACATCGGTGTGACTGTAAACCTCTGTGTGCCTATACATCAGTGTGACTGTAAACCTTTGTGTGCCTATACATCAGTGTGACTGTAAACCTTTGTGTCCCTATACATCAGTGTGACTGTAAACCTTTGTGTGCCTATACATCAGTGTGACTGTAAACCTTTGTGTCCCTATACATCAGTGTGACTGTAAACCTTTGTGTCCCTATACATCAGTGTGACTGTAAACCTTTGTGTGCCTATACATCAGTGTGACTGTAAACCTTTGTGTCCCTATACATCAGTGTGACTGTAAACCTTTGTGTGCCTATACATCAGTGTGACTGTATACCTTTGTGTGCCTATACATCAGTGTGTGACTGTGACACTGTTGCACAATGTGTTGAATCTTGGTTTGATGATTGACTATCATTGATTCTGCTTGTTTGAATGATTGACTGACCCAGGATAACCCTTCCTTGTTTGGTTGATTGACTGACCCAGGATAACCCTTCCTTGTTTGGTTGATTGACTGACCCAGGATAACCCTTCCTTGTTAGGGTGATTGACTGACCCAGGATAACCCTTCCTTGTTAGGGTGATTGACTGACCCAGGATAACCCTTCCTTTTTTGGGTAATTGACTGACCCAGGATAACCCTTCCTTGTTTGGGTGATTGACTGACCCAGGATAACCCTTCCTTGTAAGGGTGATTGACTGACCCAGGATAACCCTTCCTTTTTAGGGTGATTGACTGACCCAGGATAACCCTTCCTGTTTTGGGTGATTGACTGACCCAGGATAACCCTTCCTTGTTATGATGATTGACTGACCCAGGATAACCCTTCCTTGTTTGGGTGATTGACTGACCCAGGATAACCCTTCCTTGTTATGATGATTGACTGACCCAGAATAACCCTTCCTTGTTTGGGTGATTGACTGACCCAGGATAACCCGTCATTGTTTGGTTGATTGACTGACCCAGGATAACCCGTCATTGTTTGGTTGATTGACTGACCCAGGATAACCCTTCCTTGTAAGGGTGATTGACTGACCCAGGATAACCCTTCCTTTTTAGGGTGATTGACTGACCCAGGATAACCCTTCCTGTTTTGGGTGATTGACTGACCCAGGATAACCCTTCCTTGTTATGATGATTGACTGACCCAGGATAACCCTTCCTTGTTTGGGTGATTGACTGACCCAGGATAACCCTTCCTTGTTAGGGTGATTGACTGACCCAGGATAACCCTTCCTTGTAAGGGTGATTGACTGACCCAGGATAACCCTTCCTTGTTAGGGTAATTGACTGACCCAGGATAACCCTTCTCTATTACACTGTCCACTGACAACGATCTATGGTATTCATATTCTAATTTCTCACATTACAGCAAGAAGTTTTAATCCTTGTCATGGTTCATCTTCTCACAAGAAAACACAGTATACATAACTTGAATTTATTGACTATAAAATATTACATGTATTTAACTTCACACTGTCTGTATTGTTGAAGCCATATCCATGATCTGATCCAGTGTCATAAAGGTGGAGTCATCATTACGTGTATTTATAACCTCAAATTCTGCGTTATCTTGAAGGGCCTGGAAAAAAATATATGCACATATTAAAAAAAATATCTAATATCTACAGATGTAAACTTTACTAAAACTTTCACCTCTAATTCTCAATCTGCAATTCTCATGAGCAAAAAAATGACCGTTTTCTGACAAAAACAGTGATAAAAATCATCACCAAAAAAATCCATAATTAACATCAGCACAACCTGTGATCATACCAAACACCAGACAGTGATCATACAAAACAACAGACAGTGATCATACAAAACACCAGACTGTGATCATACAAAACACCAGACAGTGATCATATAAAACATCAGACAGTGATCATACAAAACAACAGACAGTGATCATACAAAACACCAGACAGTGATCACACAAAACACCAGACTGTGATCACATAAAACACCAGACAGTGATCATACAAAACACCAGACAGTGATCATACAAAACACCAGACAGTGATCATACACCACACCAGACAGTAATCATACAAAATACCAGACAGTGATCATACAAAACACCAGACACTGATCATACAAAACACCAGACAGTGATCATACACCACACCAGACAGTAATCATACAAAACACCAGACAGTGATCATACAAAACACCAGACAGTGATCATACAAAACACCAGACAGTGATCATACAAAACACCAGACAGTGATCATACAAAACATTAGACAGTGATCATACAAAACACCAGACAGTGATCATATAAAACATCAGACAGTGATCATACAAAACACCAGACAGTGATCATACACCACACCAGACAGTAATCATACAAAACACCAGACAGTGATCATACAAAATACCAGACAGTGATCACACAAAACACCAGACAGTGACCATACAAAACACCAGACAGTGATCACATAAAACACCAGACAGTGATCATACAAAACACCAGACAGTGATCATACAAAATACCAGACAGTGATCATACAAAATGCCAGACAGTGATCATACAAAACACCAGACAGTGATCATACAAAACACTAGACAGTGATCATACAAAACAGTAGACAGTGATCATACCAAACAGAAGTCAGTGATCATACAAAACACCAGACAGTGATCATACAAAACACCAGACAGTGGTCATAAAAAACACCAGCCAGTGATCATACCAAACACCAGACAGTGATCATACAAAACACCAGACAGTGATCATACAAAACAACAGACAGTGATCATACAAAACACCAGACAGTGATCATACAAAACACATACAAAACACCAGACAGTGATCATACAAAACACCAGTCAGTGATCATACAAAACACCAGACAGTGATCATACGAAACACCAGACAGTGATCATACAAAATACCAGACAGTGATCATACAAAACACCAGACAGTGATCATACAAAACAGCAGACAGTGATCATTCAAAACACATACAAAACACCAGACAGTGATCATACAAAACACCAGACAGTGATCATACAAAACACTAGACAGTGATCATACAAAACACCAGACAGTGATCATACGAAACACCAGACAGTGATCATACAAAATACCAGACAGTGATCATACAAAACACCAGACAGTGATCATACAAAACAGCAGACAGTGATCATACAAAACACATACAAAACACCAGACAGTGATCATACAAAACAGCAGACAGTGATCATACAAAACACATACAAAACACCAGACAGTGATCATACAAAACACCAGACAGTGATCATACAAAACACTAGACAGTGATCATACCAAACAGAAGTCAGTGATCATACAAAAAACCAGACAGTGATCATACAAAACACCTGACAGTGGTCATACAAAACACCAGACAGTGATCATACAAAACACCAGCCAGTGATCATACAAAACACCAGACAGTGATCATATAAAACATCAGACAGTGATCATACAAAACACCAGACAGTGATCATACAAAACACATACAAAACACCAGACAGTGATCATACAAAACACCAGTCAGTGATCATACAAAACACCAGACAGTGATCATACAAAACACCAGACAGTGATCATGCAAAACACCAGCCAGTGGTCATACAAAACACCAGACAGTGATCATACAAAATACCAGAGAGTGATCATACAAAACACCAGACAGTGATCATACAAGACACAAACCTGCAATCATATCCAAACTAGGCAAAATAATAGGGGACTTCATTTTACCACAGATTAGGGGTAGAGATGGAAGGTGTGGGTGTATGGTTGTGTTTGTGTGTGTATGGGTGTATGGTTGTGAGTGTGTGTGAGAATGAGGGTGTGTGTGTGTGTATGGGTGTATGGGTGGGTGGTTTTGTGTGTGTGGGGGGCAGTGGGGGATCGTTTCACTGTAATGGTAAATTGAACAGCGGATCACTTTACCATCAAGGTCAAGGGCTTCTCTATATGACATAACCAGGAAAACTAAAATTGAAGTAATAAAGATTTACAAATCTTCAGATACAAGAGAATGTAACAGATACCTTGTCTTTAACTGTTATTATATAAGGGTAGCCAATGGCTTTTGCCCCAAACAATCGGAAAGTCACTTTTTTGTCTCGATCATCTATCACAACTTCACCAGATAGACCACTTCGTTTGTTTAACTCGTCACTCAGAGATTCAGCTATGGACAGACATTCTCTCTTGGACTGAAAAAAAAAATACTGCATGTAATTCTCTCTACAACTAATACATACTAACAGTCACAGTATATCTCATAGTAAGTATGGAGATAACCTCAATATAAATACATAACAATGTACTGAGACTAATCCATTAATAAAACATAACATATGTCTCATAGGTATTGAGACTAATCCATTAACTTGTCGGTATTGAGATAATCCATTAATAATACATCACATATGTCTCATAGGTATTGAGACTAATCCATTAACTTGGAGGTATTGAGACTAATCCATTAACTTGTAGGTACTGAGACTAATCCATCTACTCATAGGTACTGAGACTAATCCATCTACTCATAGGTACTGAGACTAATCCATTTACTCATAGGTACTGAGACTAATCCATTAAGTTGTAGGTATTGAGACTCATCCATTAATGATACATAACATATATCTTGTAGGTATTGAAACTAATCCATTAACTTGTCGATATTGAGATAATCCATTAAAAATATGTAACAGAAATTAAAACTACCCTATCAAAAATATGTTACGAAAGTGTTGTGCATATCTTCATTTTTTTAATGGTAAATATATTCTAGATATATCCTGATTGATAAGGTATCATAAAAACAGTAGAAGTATTGAAACAATACTTTCTCCCATGATGAGACTACCTTACTATAATACCTTACTGTTAATACATAACAATATATATCTGATGTATTGGAATTACTCGTTAATCATACATCATGTACATTATCAATATATCTAAGGTAATGAGACTGATCTAGGTGTAATACTTACTTCTAATGGTATAATACAGAATTGGTATGGTGCTAGTAGCTGGGGCCACACTATCTTTTTCTCTGTAGATAAAACTTCAACACAAGCCTGCATTATTCTAGATACACCAAGTCCATAGCATCCCATCTGATACAAACTGAAACAGGACATATTTTACTCATAACAAGTATCTCAACTTATTATTCCTCAGTCTATTGACATACTGTTTCAGTGGTGTAGTTCCATTCCTTCCCTCTTTTACAGGCACACAAAACCCTAGATCATCTCCCTCGTGTGTAGAATATAAAACCAAATGTAACAAAAGTGAAACAAACAGGTAGATCAGAATTCTGAACATAATATAGATGTAATAGTAATTAACCAAGATATTCCCTGTAACTGGTGATAAACTCACTCCCTTCTGTTTCATAAGAATGTGGTTAAGTCTCTGTCAGCACCAGCCAAGTTTTACTGTGATATCTGAGGAAGAGTAGCACCCTAATATACACTTACCCAGACAACATTTTAAATATTTACAGAAACAGAAAAACACTTTTAGGCTCGTCTGGACAAAAAATACCCCTCCCCCCTCCCACATTAAACTTAATGAAAAAATTTACACGTATATGTGTAACATATTCCTAAAAGGTCTTTTCACTTACTACTTTTTTTCCTCAAAGGGTGCTGGAGGAAAGACCGTATAAAATCATTATAGAAGTAAAATACTCCACATTTCTACACTACTGGTGTCTTTTCTGAGGGTGAATAGGTCGAAAGAATAGTATTTACATTTCAGAGACCTTTTAATGTTCTACATGTACTTTCTGACCAAGTCTCCCATTGTCACATGCATGTTTACTTCAATGACCCTAAACAATTTTAATATTGTGTGAGAAGCCATTAAGTCAAAAATCATTAAAGAACAATAATACAGGTACATGTGTCAAGTACCTGAAAACCTAGCACAAACTGCTTGTTGTTTGTAGTTTGAACCAGCAACCTGTTCGCCATAAAAGTTCAGTAAGTATTCCTAACATGTAATGATGCTAGCATAACACTAATGGTTAACATGATACATAGTTTTGAGTGTAAATGAGCTGAAATGTTCTCTAAGTATACAGATAACAGTAAATAAAGATCACAAGTAAGCATATATCACATACTTCTTGTTTGCATCTTTGTTGATGCATTTCGCAGCAAAATGCTCAGAGTACTTTGTTCCCAGCAGGAAAGAATGTCCAACCTTGAAAAAAGAAATTACAAATGTCAGGCAAATAAACAACTGAGTTGGTTTATCTCATCAGATCAGGCTGTTATTTCATCAGATCAGGCTGTTATTTCATCGGATCAGGCTGTTATTTCATCAGATCAGGCTGTTATCTCATCGGATCAGGCTGTTATTTCATCAGATCAGGCTGTTATCTCATCAGATCAGGCTGTTATTTTATCAGATCAGGCTGTTATTTTATCAGATCAGGCTGTTATTTTATCAGATCAGGCTGTTATTTTATCAGATCAGGCTGTTATTTTATCAGATCAGGCTGTTATTTCATCAGATCAGGCTGTTATTTTATCAGATCAGGCTGTTATTTCATCAGATCAGGCTGTTATTTTATCAGATCAGGCTGTTATTTTATCAGATCAGGCTGTTATTTCATCAGATCAGGCTGTTATCTCATCAGATCAGGCTGTTATTTTATCAGATCAGGCTGTTATCTCATCGGATCAGGCTGTTATATTTCATCAGATCAGGCTGTTATTTTATCAGATCAGGCTGTTATCTCATCGGATCAGGCTGTTATTTCATCAGATCAGGCTGTTATTTTATCAGATCAGGCTGTTATTTTATCAGATCAGGCTGTTATTTTATCAGATCAGGCTGTTATCTCATCGGATCAGGCTGTTATTTCATCAGATCAGGCTGTTATTTCATCAGATCAGGCTGTTATCTCATCGGATCAGGCTGTTATCTCATCGGATCAGGCTGTTATTTCATCAGATCAGGCTGTTATTTCATCGGATCTCATCGGATCAGGCTGTTATTTCATCAGATCAGGCTGTTATTTTATCAGATCAGGCTGTTATTTTATCAGATCAGGCTGTTATTTTATCAGATCAGGCTGTTATCTCATCGGATCAGGCTGTTATTTCATCAGATCAGGCTGTTATTTCATCAGATCAGGCTGTTATTTTATCAGATCAGGCTGTTATTTTATCAGATCAGGCTGTTATTTCATCAGATCAGGCTGTTATCTCATCAGATCAGGCTGTTATTTTATCAGATCAGGCTGTTATCTCATCGGATCAGGCTGTTATTTCATCAGATCAGGCTGTTATTTTATCAGATCAGGCTGTTATCTCATCGGATCAGGCTGTTATTTCATCAGATCAGGCTGTTATTTTATCAGATCAGGCTGTTATTTTATCAGATCAGGCTGTTATTTTATCAGATCAGGCTGTTATTTCAGATCAGGCTGTTATTTCATCAGATCAGGCTGTTATTTCATCAGATCAGGCTGTTATCTCATCGGATCAGGCTGTTATCTCATCGGATCAGGCTGTTATTTCATCAGATCAGGCTGTTATTTCATCAGATCAGGCTGTTATTTCATCAGATCAGGCTGTTATTTCATCAGATCAGGCTGTTATCTCATCAGATCAGGCTGTTATTTCATCAGATCAGGCTGTTATTTCATCAGATCAGGCTGTTATTTCATCAGATCAGGCTGTTATTTCATCAGATCAGGCTGTTATTTCATCAGATCAGGCTGTTATTTTATCAGATCAGGCTGTTATTTCATCGGATCAGGCTGTTATCTCATCGGATCAGGCTGTTATCTCATCAGATCAGGCTGTTATTTCATCGGATCAGGCTGTTATTTATCAGATCAGGCTGTTATTTATCAGATCAGGCTGTTATCTCATCGCATCAGGCTGTTATTTTATCAGTGAGAAGTAGAGGTTTTACAGAAGATTTAGGGGAATGCTGGTTTTAAATCTCGTAAATTTGTCAAGCAAAGAGTATTATTCAAATTAAATAGACAAATTGGAAAATACAAAGTGTTAGTCTTAATATCCTTTCTGTAATCTGCAGATTACATTTCCATACATACTGGTAAATCATATATATTAATAAGGTGCTTTATCAATTAAACAGGTAGTTTATGCAAAATCTACCCAATATTCAGTAGGTCTAATTTATACTGAATACTTCACGTTGTTGTCTGATGCATGACTCATATCTCTTTGGGTTTCTCGATTTATCTTCCCTAACATATCTGGCATTCAAGAAGATTTAAAATTCAGAGAGATTTTGTTAAATTTGGAATTACCTAACCCTTATTGAAAGAAATGGGTTTTTTTTTCATATATATTCAGATTTACTTCCCTTCAATACTCATCTCATAGTTTGATATGTCATAGCAGTAACATGCTAGCTGGCATCAGTGAATTCTGTCATAGGACTGGTCGTTAACTGGTCTGAATCTATCCTAAGAATTTCTCTTAATTTTTTCCATTTTGTTTTTAAATACTTTAATATCAAGTGTGTTGTACTATATAGCATGCAAGATGTGTTATGGATGGACTACATCTGAAATTACTTTAATAAACATTTAACTTAAAATGACTTTACGAAGTAATTCAATGATACAGAAATATTCTAAAGAGATGTTGTCCATTACTGTATTCCCAACATACTGGTACATATCAAACTCAATGATACAGACCCGTACAGCTTATGTTTATAGTCAATATAATCCACTGTTAAATCAGTGATGTGGATTACAGTACTAAAGCATTACCTCTATTGATGAAGAAACTGACAATTCACATGGATTTTCTGAGCATATCTTGTTCTTTGCCTCTAAAAACAGAAAGAAATTAACAAGAATATATATTTATGTATCAAGCAAGATTTAAATCATACACAAAAATTAGCACTAATTAGTAGCTATGGCTATAATGTTAAACCACCAGGGCAGTTAGACATGGATAAGTTAGACATTTCATATACCACTTGAACAATTTTGTATAACATTATACTTTACCAATATTGTTATTAAACACCATAAACATTTAATTGTACAAAATCATTAAAACAATTACAGTCGAACTTCGTTAACTCGAACTCGGAAAACTCGAAGACCCCGTTTAACTCGAAGCACTTTGTCGGTCCCGGCAAAATCTTCTCTTTATTCTAGTAATCAAAACTCGGAAAACTCGAATTCGGAAAACTCGAAAAACTCTGTTAATTCGAAGTAAAAATTTGGTCCCAACAACAAAACATATACTGAATATGATCGGAAAACTCGAAGTATAAATTTTGTGCCGGTCAATTACATTGCTGATGCGCTACGCCGTTTTGCAATTTTACCGACAATAGGCTTTACAAGTGAATATTAATGAACAATACTGTAATTAACAATATTCATGTTTTAGAAAAGTGTTTATTGTTATTTAATTGAATGATAAAAGGTAACCGTTAGATCTTATAATTGATAGATATCGGCGATAAAAAGTGAAGTTCTACTCACATTGCGTAATTTCCGTGTCTGTCAGCCATAACAAACACCGACCTGTGTATACACTCAGTGAAGCGGAACTAAGCTATAGAAAACAATCACAACACTGGCCCAGTACTAGGCTTAATGTTTTTACAGGAGTACGCATGAAACGGTCACCTGTGCTCAATTAAACCGACAAATGAGTGAAACAATTATTTAATTAGCGTCGAAGTACTTAGGGCAGAATTAGTGAGGAGATGTCATGAGTGTCACATAGGGATAAAAGCAGGGGTGTTTCTCACCGAAATCATACCCGTTTCGAAATGTCGAAGTCAATTTAATTATCAATTCTGGTTTTTCAACGATCAAGAACAAAATATGTTTGCTTATTACCGGAATCTACATCAAGCTTGTATATAGCCAAAAAGTGACAAAAAGTACAAGGAACGTCAGGAACATTAAAAATCTTTGCACCAAAACTCATGAACTCGGCTATCTCGAAGACTCGGATAACTCGAAGTATTTTCGTGGTCCCATCGACTTCGAGTTAACGAGGTTTGACTGTAGTAAGCTTATAAGACAATCTCACCTGTAGTTTCAGCATTAGCTCCAAATCCACACCTAAAAAATTAAAATGGTTAAAATGAGGTAAAAAGCATTCCTTGCAAAAATAGTTTGTCAACATACTGTGTCAACATACTGCTCACATTTTCAATACTGTACCCCAACTTTCTTTCGCTGCTTCTAAATCTTGGGAATTCCATATTACAGCAAATTTGCAGTAAAAACAAGAGTCTCTTGGGGCCTGCATCGCTCATCTGGCTAATTGAGCCAGTCAGTCATTCAACACAGAATTTCAAAAAGGAAGAATAATTTCCGAGATACAAAATTAAGTCTTATTGTCCAAGGAATGCTTCAGATCAAACTTGGACAATATACTTGTATGAAAGGAGGGATTCTTGCTTCATTTCCTCTGTTATTGGGACAGAATCAAGGCATTCCCACAAACACAGGATTTAAAGGTTTTTTTCTATTTCTACTTTTGGGCCCTTTCCTTTCTTTCCTGCCCCTAAGAGCTGAGACCCACCATTTATACAAAACTGAATCTCCTTCAATCCAACATGCTTCAGACAAAATTGAGACAGAATCATGGCATTCCAACAGAGGAAGGATTTCAAATGATATGCTGTATTTCCAATATTAGGCTCCATCCCTCCTGCCCTAGTGGGTTGAGATCCACTGTTTATACAAAATTGATTGACCTAAGCATGCTTCAGATAAAATTGGGACAAAATTTAAGCATTCCTACAGAAGTAGAAGGATTTTAAAGAGTTTGTCCTATTTACACTGTTGGCCCTGCCCCTCCCACCCAGGGGGACTGAACAGTTTATACACAATTGATTTTCCCTCATTGAATTATGCTTTACACCAATTTCAACTGAATTTCAAAGATTTTAAAGGATATACCATATTTTCCCTAATGTACATATATTGTATTTGTATAATAGCGTACACATATAAAAATAAATATATAAAGATGTAGTCAACTATACAAACTTTTTGCAAACATGAATTGTGTCCTCTCCAATGTCTGCCCTGATCTGGAATTCATGGGAGATGCTTCCTCCAATGTTGCCAGTAGAGCCAGTCACTGAAAGAACAGTTAATGAGGTGTTATCATCAATCACTGAAAGTACAGTTATTTAGGTGTTATCATCAATCACATAAAGTACAGTTAATGAGGTGTTATCATCAATCACTGAAAGTACAGTTAATGAGGTGTTATCATCAATCACATAAAGTACAGTTAATGAGGTGTTATCATCAATCACATAAAGTACAGTTAATTAGGTGTTATCATCAATCACATAAAGTACAGTTAATGAGGTGTTATCATCAATCACATAAAGTACAGTTAATGAGGTGTTATCATCAATCACATAAAGTACAGTTAATGAGGTGTTATCATCAATCACATAAAGTACAGTTAATAAGGTGTTATCATCAATCACATAAAGTACAGTTAATGAGGTGTTATCATCAATCACATAAAGTACAGTTAATGAGGTGTTATCATCAATCACAGAAAGTACAGATAATTAGGTGTTATCAACAGTCCCTGAATGACTAGTACCTACCTTTATCATAGTCCTGATCCAGAGTGGCTGACAGTGCCTACCTTTATCTTAGTCCATGGTCCAGTCCTAGCCTGGGTTAAGTGTACCTACCTATATCATGGTCCAGTCCTAGACTGGGTTAAGTGTACCTACCTATATCATGATCCAGTCCTAGACTGGGTTAAGTGTACCTACCTATATCATGGTCCAGTCCTAGACTGGGTTAAGTGTACCTACCTATATCATGGTCCAGTCCTAGCCTGGGTTAAGTGTACCTACCTATATCATAGTCCAGTCCTAGCCTGGGTTAAGTGTACCTATCTATATCATAGTCCAGTCCTAGCCTGGGTTGAGAGTACCTACCTATATCATGGTCCAGTCCTAGACTGGGTTAAGTGTACCTACCTATATCATGGTCCAGTCCTAGACTGGGTTAAGTGTACCTACCTATATCATGGTCCAGTCCTAGACTGGGTTAAGTGTACCTACCTATATCATGGTCCAGTCCTAGCCTGGGTTAAGTGTACCTACCTATATCATAGTCCAGTCCTAGCCTGGGTTAGTGTACCTACCTAAATCATAGTCCAGTCCCAGCCTTGGTTGATTGTACCTACCTATATCATAGTCCAGTCCTAGCCTGGGTTGAGAGTACCTACCTATATCATGGTCCAGTCCTAGACTGGGTTAAGTGTACCTACCTATATCATGGTCCAGTCCTAGACTGGGTTAAGTGTACCTACCTATATCATGGTCCAGTCCTAGCCTGGGTTAAGTGTACCTACCTATATCATAGTCCAGTCCTAGCCTGGGTTAGTGTACCTACCTAAATCATAGTCCAGTCCCAGCCTTGGTTGATTGTACCTACCTATATCATAGTCCAGTCCTAGCCTGGGTTGAGAGTACCTACCTAAATCATAGTCCAATCCTAGCCTGGGTTAAGTGTACCTACCTATATCATGGTCCAGTCCTAGCCTTTGGTTAAGTGTACCTACCTATATCATGGTCCAGTCCTAGCCTTTGGTTAAGTGTACCTACCTATATCATAGTCCAGTCCTAGCCTGGGTTAAGTGTACCTACCTATATCATAGTCCACTCCTAGTCTGGGTTAGTGTACCTACCTATATCATAGTCCAGTCCTAGCCTGGGTTGATTGTACCTACCTATATCATAGTCCAATCCTAGCCTGGGTTGAGAGTACCTACCTATATCATAGTCCAGTCCTAGTCTGGATTAGTGTACCTACCTATATCATAGTCCAGTCCTAGCCTGGGTTAAGTGTACCTACCTATATCATAGTCCACTCCTAGTCTGGGTTAGTGTACCTACCTATATCATAGTCCAGTCCTAGCCTGGGTTGAGAGTACCTACCTATATCATAGTCCAATCCTAGACTGGGTTAAGTGTACCTACCTATATCATAGTCCAGTCCTAGCCTGGGTTAAGTGTACCTACCTATATCATAGTCCACTCCTAGCCTGGGTTGAGAGTACCTACCTATATCATAGTCCAGTCCTAGCCTGGGTTAAGTGTACCTACCTATATCATAGTCCAATCCTAGCCTGGGTTGAGAGTACCTACCTATATCATAGTCCAGTCCTAGCCTGGGTTGATTGTACCTACCTATATCATAGTCCAATCCTAGCCTGGGTTGATTGTACCTACCTATATCATAGTCCAGTCCTAGCCTTTGGTTAAGTGTACCTACCTATATCATGGTCCAGTCCTAGCCTTTGGTTAAGTGTACCTACCTATATCATGGTCCAGTCCTAGCCTTTGGTTAAGTGTACCTACCTATATCATGGTCCAGTCCTAGCCTTTGGTTAAGTGTACCTACCTATATCATAGTCCAGTCCTAGCCTGGGTTGAGAGTACCTACCTATATCATGGTCCAGTCCTAGACTGGGTTAAGTGTACCTACCTATATCATGGTCCAGTCCTAGCCTGGGTTAGTGTACCTACCTATATCATGGTCCAGTCCTAGACTGGGTTGAGAGTACCTACCTATATCATAGTCCAATCCTAGCCTGGGTTGAGAGTACCTACCTATATCATGGTCCAGTCCTAGCCTGGGTTGATTGTACCTACCTATATCATAGTCCAATCCTAGCCTAAGTCTACCTACCTATGGTCCAGTCCTAGCCTGGGTTAAGTGTACCTACCTATATCATGGTCCAGTCCTAGCCTGGGTTAGTGTACCTACCTATATCATGGTCCAGTCCTAGCCTGGGTTAGTGTACCTACCTATATCATGGTCCAGTCCTAGACTGGGTTAAGTGTACCTACCTATATCATGGTCCAGTCCTAGCCTGGGTTGAGAGTACCTACCTATATCATAGTCCAGTCCTAGCCTATCCAGGATCTGTTTATAGGCTGTACACACAGTATGATAGGTCTCTGTTGCTTCCTCCAATGAAGCATCAAATGTGTACAAATCTAAAATAATGAAATTTTTTAAACCAATCAAATCATCACTGTCAAACTTGTATACCAATCAGATCATCAATGTCAAACTTGTATACCAATCAGATCATCAATGTCAAATTTGTATACCAATCAGATCATCACTGTCAAACTTGTATACCAATCAGATCATCAATGTCAAACTTGTAACAACCAATCAGATCATCAATGTCAAATTTGTACACCAATCAGATCATCAATGCCAAACTTGTAACAACCAATCAGATCATCAATGTAAAATTTGTACACCAATCAGATCATCAATGCCAAACTTGTAACAACCAATCAGATCATCAATGTCAAATTTGTACACCAATCAGATCATCAATGTCAAACTTGTAACAACCAATCAGATCATCAATGTCAAATTTGTAACAACCAATCAGATCATCAATGTCAAATTTGTACACCAATCAGATCATCAATGTAAAACTTGTAACAACCAATCAGATCATCAATGTCAAACTTGTAACAACTAATCAGATCATCAATGTCAAACTTATAAACCAATCAGCTCATCACTGTCAAACTTGTATACCAATCAGATCATTACTGTCAAACTTGTACATCAATCAGCTCATCACTTTCAAACTTATAAACCAATCAAATCATCACTAGTAAACTTGTTAACCAATCAAACCATCACTATCAAACTTGTACACCAATAAGACTGTCCCGGTCAAACTTATACACCAATTAAATAATCACGGTCAAACTTGACAACCAATCAAACCATCACTATCAAACTTGTACACCAATAAGACTGTCCCTGTCAAACTTATACACCAATTAAATAATCACGGTCAAACTTGACAACCAATCAAACCATCACTATCAAACTTGTACACCAATAAGACTGTCCCTGTCAAACTTATACACCAATTAAATAATCACGGTCAAACTTGACAACCAATCAAATCATCACAGTCAGACTCGAAAACCAATCAAATCCAAGCTGTCAAGCTAACAACCATTGCTGCAAAATCCCTACATCCTTTAAAGTACAACACTAAATCATGTCAATAAAACAATGCTGCTCAATGATACATCACTCTAAGAAAAAATCTGCTTTTGTGTAAGTAAATCCATTCACTGCGTACTTCTATAAAAAATTTCTCCACTATCTTCTTCTTATTTTACCCATGATTCTTAAGTGTTAACAAAATTACACAGAAAACCAAATGGTAGTTTAATCAAACATGTATAGTACAGAATGATTTTATATTTTTTTGAGTCATTCCAAACAGACATATCAAAATATTTACAGGTAGCTTTTGTTGTTCTTCTTACCTTTCATATCAAACTCTCTACTTCGCAGGAAGCCATATTTAGGAGAATTTTCATCTCGAAACTTTCTGGTTATCTGAAAGTAATATATGATAATTTACAGAAGAATTAAGTTAAATGAGCCATTTAATGTGTAGTACTTATGTTTTAACTGATTTCACACAAAACATCACAATTTACAAATGTATCCAATAAGTAATATTTACTTTCTACAGAACCATTTTAAATATTAACATATATGATGTACAATTTTACATCTTTCAGAGTGATTAAAGCATTTCGAATTCCTTCATTATAAAAAAGTTTTTTTGTGAAATGCAATTTTGCATTTAATGACTTTTAAACAAGTATATTGATGTTAAATACTTTTTAGTAATTGGTTGGTTTTCTGATAACATTCACATATCACTTGAGGTTAAAGAATACTGACCTACAGCACAGTACTGTTTGGCTGTCTCAGGGTTATAAAACTTACTTGATACATTTTCATTGGTAGGCGCTTGTATGATAATAATGGGCCAGTGGCAAGTATGTTTGTGATCACCTCTTCATGGGTCTAAAAAAGTTACATACACAGAAATATTATGCTTCAGTGCAATTTTAATACTTAAAAGTTTAATAGCTTCACTTGCTAAGTCCACTCATGTTGTGTCTTTCAAATTTAATATGAATAAAACATTAAAGTAAATAATTTTCTTTCTTGAATTTAAGTTACTGCATAACTGCCTGTTAAATGTTTCAAGCACTTGCAAGCAAAAGTAAATTATCTGAACACAGAAGACTTAATAAATAAAACATCACAAGTGAAACAACTCTGGCATATCTGAATCTCAGTACATTTTCTAGATCACACAACAGTGATTTTATTGCTAGAGTCTTGTTATTTCATATGTAATTATGACATTAATTAAACTGATAAGGAAAGACCTAAACTTACTGGTCCCAAGCAAAATTCAATCCTTTTTCTATCTGTTAAACGGAATAGTTCATTTCCCATGGCATCCCAACGTCCTATTAAAAAAAGAGAAATCAAGGATGATAAGGTGTTGTACACATTGCTTACGTTATTTTCATGCAGTCAGTATACATTTTAAAAAAATGTATTTGTAAAGGGAACACAAAACAACATTGACTTCTCACAAACAAAATATGACAGTATCGACAGATTAGTGAAGAAAATTTCAAGAATTTCTTTCCACAGATTATGAAATATTAAAATATTCACCAGTTTTCTTCCAAAACTTTGCAGGAGCCAATGTTGTCATGGACATTTTTTGACACCCAATCCTCTCCAACTCTTGATCAATGATCTTCACTAATTTGTCCTGTACCCTTTGACCTAATGGTAGAAGGTTGTAGCCTCCGACGTGACATTGTTGTATGATATTGGCATATAGGAAAAGCTGAAAATAGAAAAAAAAAGAAAATATGTCTTATAAACAGTAGTAAAGCAAATAAACCAAGTTGTATACAGTTTATAACAATATTTGTACAAACAAATTACACAGCTTAAACAATAATTATAAAGGTTGTAGAAGTTTAGAGGCAAAACAAAAGAGGATTTGTTCAAATTACGATGCTTTTAAAAGAAGACTTGTTCAAGTTGTACATGAACGATAATGAAGGATGTGTATATTTACAACTATACAAGCATTCAAAATGAGGATTTGTACACAATGTACATTATTAAAAAAGGAAGATCTGTACATATACAAGTTATACAAGGAGACTAAATGGAGATAAAAGTAATATACATGTATATATCAACGTAACAATATACAAGCAAAGTCATTGTTATGCAATTTTCTTATTATAGTTATGTACATGTAGATATGAAATTAGAATGATTTATGCATAATTTATTTTTTTGAAAAGTGTGTGTTCTTTACCTTGTGACTCTGGCAGACCAACTTGCTGCTTTCTGGGTAAATGTTTCCTAAATTTTGGTACATTTTGCTTACATATCTCCTTCCAGTATAATTGTATTGGTGTTTTTGGGCGCCATCAGTGTTTGTTTCGGGAGAGTTACAAGTCTCTGTTGTAAATGATCTAGAAGCATAACACTGTGTTGAACAAAAAGATGGATTCTGACAAATCTTCAAAAAGATCCGTCTGCGACAAGCCATTGATGACATCTGTCCGGTGTTGTGTTTGCCTTGATAGCTATGCAGACAAGTGAAAGGTTAGGTCTGAAATGATACAATTTGAAAATTAGCTTCAATTATTCATCAACATATACTGTCTACATTCTGCTTAAATCAACATCCTGACTCTCTTCCTTAAAGGGGTACCCTGCATCTTAAAGGGTTTCTGAGAAATTCCCACCAGCAATAACAATCTTCACCAGGCAAAATCCAAGATGGCTGCCTGTCGGCCATTTTTTTCCTGATTAATCCCAAAATGAAACAGGCACAACAAGAGACCTAGAGGAACCTATACATGAAATTTTAAAAAACATCTATTGAGTAGTTCTTAAGAAATAATGATAACAAACTTTCAAAGTCAAAATCGAAGATGGCCACCTTTTGGCCATTTTGTTTTTCTGATCAGTCCCAAAATAACATGGGCACAACTGGTGACCGAGGGGATGATAAAGGTGGGCTAAAAATAATGATTATAGTGATGATGGTTTCAATGAAAATCAAAAGGTTTCTAAATATCCACTGTAAATCTTAATTATCTATCACATAAAATCTGTCAAACATTCCAAAGACTCAAGTTGTATTATGATTAAGAATACTTCTAGAAGCCAAAAACAAATGATAATTTTTCCAATGGATAAATGCCCAAATGATTCCCTAGAATTGTTCAGTGAAGGATCAATAAGCTTGGAGAACAGCACGGAACACCAATTGCACCATTCCAATGTGCTTTCTCCAACAGCATGGTGGATTTAATTAGAATCTCTTTAAAATCCTGTCGTACACGATAATTATTTCTCCTGCACCTTACACATTTATGTCTTGTCTGAACTGAGCATGGAGTTACCACCTGAGGAAATGTGACACAGCATGCTTTAGAGCTTGTGCAGGAACCAACCTGGAGTTGTAACCGAGAGTTCTGCGACTACATATCAGTGATATTATACTGATCAATGTATATATATATATAATATATATATATATTTATATGTGTGTGTGTGTAACAATTCATGGACAATTAAGTGTATAGTCCATTTGATAGTTTAATTGTTTTGCCTGTATGGTTGAGTATCTATAATACTAATGTATCCAAGTTAAGCTCAAGTTATGTCCTTGATGTTTCTTCAACACTTGTGGAGCTTATATATCTGGGGATAATCCTAAGCCAGCATTGATTTACACAAGACAGAAAATTCTTTTATGTATCACAGTAAGCTGTTTGGAGCAACAAGGCCAAACCCATAAGAGACTTGTAAAAGAGTATTATTCTTCATCAGTGAAGGGGTAAGCATGTGATAGTTTATGGATACCGGTAGTTGTGACAGGTCCGGATCCCTGTTCCTGAGTAGACTGGTTTCATTCTTGATGTACATTCATTTCTACCCCTTCATTTCAGTATGTATCTAATGAGAATAAATGATATACATCAAATAATCATCGTGTTACAAAATTACTGTCACTACAGCACGTGACACAAACTTCCAAAGCCTCGCCAATATTACCTGATGCCAGCAAATACCGGAACGTATAATCATAACTTAGTTCGAACCACGATCTTGGTTGTTAATGTGTTTGAAACAAGTAGACATTCACGTGAAGCGTTAATGTGACTGATGTGAATTGTGTGCTATTTTCATTTTCCGTTAAAAACAACTTGTCGAGCGAGAGCAGTGGTCAATGGAAACGAATGGTAACTATGCCAGGTCAAGTAATAAATTACAATAGCTGATGTCTGAAATGATATCAAAACTGCCCATAATTTCACACATCGGATATAACACATCCGGGTTGTAGAGATATAGAGGTTAGCTATGGCTTACGTACATTATAGCTAGATAGATATATACATTATAGCTAGATATATGTATAGACTACAAGTACATATGAGAAATTCTCTTAGCGAACAACTAGCATATGCTATATCTATGATTCGAAGAGGGTTTTGTATGTGGCAAAATATACACATACTAACTTAGTATACGGATCAATAGAATCGGATGTTCTTATTTGAAATAGCTGGACTTAAGGAATAAGAAAATCAAATTCCTATTCCAGTAATTCTCAGATTGATCCCCTCCCCAAACATGCTAGTCACTAACCCACATATATTCTCATAGTGTACCAATATTGCATTAGCGAGATGGGTACTTGGCAAAAATTGGCTTATGTCCCATAGCTAAAATGCAATTAACTCATCTACAATGAAGCACCCTTGTGTCGAAATGATGTGGCATCCCTTACTTGGATCCTATATCTGCTTTTATTTATATACACCTTTTTATAGATACATGATCCTTGCTGGTATCACAGCCAGGTATTCACTGTTCAAAATATATGTTTGATAGATGTATTATTTGATAAAAGTTGATCATCTTGAACTATGTTTGTAGTGCATGAAACAAACTGAAGTGATACATGGAAAGTACAGTTTAGTACATTATTCTATAGATTTGAAAGTTGTTAGCATTAGAAGAATAAGTCTATCGTGACAAATAATTGTTCTACACAAATAATATTGTAAAAGGAGTAGTCACATGCTTGTCAATTCTCCCTATTAAGGGATGGATACAACAGTTTTTTACCCTTACATTAGATATAAAATTATCAGTAAATTTCATAATCGTTTATAATTTCAAATTTGTCCACCAGTAACTATATATATTAACATATAAGTCTGCTGAAAGGAGGTATGTAATGTACTTTTTTGAGGCAGATGTTTTGCTCACACACAATCTCCCCCATGAAAATCCCAAGAAGTTGGCAAGTATATTCATAATAAGATAAATAGATGATGATAGCAAGATCTCGAATATGCATTGAAGAACAAATTTGAATGTCACAGATTAAGGTAAAGTATTGACTATTACAGATTAGAAGCTATAATAGGAATTATGCAAAAATGGACAGATGTATTTAAAATACAAAAACATTGTTTTATAAAACACTGTATGTATTGTATTTTGAACGCTGTTTTTATAAAAGACTATCCACATATGGATTTTGCAAATAACTATGCATATCCATGAAAAATTATCTCCATGAGTTTTTGGCTGACAATCAATTTGGCTCCTTCTTTTTTGTGGTTTGATTGCATATTAACATATACATATATAGGAAAAGTCATACAAGCACACTTCACATGTATTCAAAAGTATTTGATGCTCAGAAAGGACACAATTTTTTTCAATGAATAGATTTTTCATTCATACATTGGTCCTGGACTTCTGTATGTAGTAGGGAAGGATCAGAGCAATGCCTTGTGATTGGGAAATTGTTTTGATAATTATCAACTTATATAGAAAATCAAATGCTTTGCTGAACACATGTGTTGCTTTCATTTATATTTTCTAGATGGACTCGAGCAATGGAGGAGTAAAGAAAAAATGTAGAAAAGTATATGACTGTAGTGAATGTTCTTATTCTACTGCTTGCCGAAGTAATCTTAATAAACATCACAAGAGACACAATAGAAGTATTGTGCAACAAGTACAGGGGCTGATATGTGATAGATGTGGAAAGAAATATGCAACCAAATTTGGGCTGAAACTGCACATCAAAAGTAAACATGAGCTAGTGTTTAAACATTTATGTGAATTGTGTGGTAAAGGTTTCAACCAATCTGTACAGTATAAACTCCATTGTTCCAGTCATGTTATTGTGCCAGATAATGTCTGTCCAATGTGCAAAGGTGAATTTAGTGTGGAATCAAGTTTAAAGCGACATATGAGGATTTGTAAGGAGATACATAAATCATCATCTAGTAAAGAAATGTCGGACCATTGTGGACATAAGTGTGATCAGTGCCATGCTTTCTACACCACTAAGTCTGGATTACGAAGTCATATAGAAGGCATGCATCAAGAAGCCAAGTTTGGGTGTAACATGTGTGATAATACATATCGCTGGAGGTCTAGTCTTAAAGCTCATCTCAAGTGTGCTCATGGCTATACCACTTAACATGTTATGATTCATAACATTTTGTATGAGAACTCCAGTACATAATTCAAGAATGTTTTGTATTAGAACTCCAGTTCATAATTCAGGAACATTTTGTATGAGAACTCCAGTACATAATTCAGGAACATTTTGTATGAGAACTCCAGTTCATAATTCAAGAACATTTTGTATGAGAACTCCAGTACATAATTCAGGAACATTTTGTATGAGAACTCCAGTACATAATTCAAGAATGTTTTGTGTGAGAACTCCAGTTCATAATTCAGGAACATTTTGTATGAAAACTCCAGTACATAATTCAGGAACATTTTGTATGAGAACTCCAGTTCATAATTCAGGAACATTTTGTATGAGAACTCCAGTTCATAATTCAAGAACATTTTGTATGAGAACTCCAGTACATAATTCAACAACATTTTGTATGAGAACTCCTGAGCAATAAGAGCAATTTGTACCATATTATTTCAAGAACTTCTGATATCATTCAATTGATGTGATCAGCATTTCTAATAATAAACATAAAAATGATAGGTCTTCTAGTTGCAGTGATATTTTTTTAACCTGTTCCGAAATAGAATATTCCTCACAACCCATTCCAAAACAGAATATTCCTTGCACTGAAAAGTGTACACATACTGTACAAATATGTAGAAATTGACTCATCTTGTCTCCTGAAGTAAGTTAATACCCACTGTTTATTCATTCATTATAATTCAATCCATATGTATGATTTGAACAAGTGGAAAACATTACAACACTCAAATCTGTCCCTATAGACATTGAATTGGTATTCACACTTAATACATGTCCATGTACACATGTGTTATCTCTGTCAACATGTCTTGTTGTCCCTGTATACATGTGTTGTTGTCTCTGTATACATGTATTGTTGTCCCAGTATACATGTCTTGTTGTCCCTGTATACATGTGCTATTGTCCCTGTATACCTGTGCTATTGTCCCTGTATACATGTATTGTTGTCCCTGTATACATGTATTGTTGTCCCTTTATACATGTGCTATTGTCCCTGTATACATGTATTGTTGTCCCTATATATATGTATTGTTGTCCCTGTATACATGTATTGTTGTCCCTGTGTACATATGTTGTTGTCCCTGTATACATGTATTGTTGTCCTTGTAAATATGTGTTGTTGTCCCTATAAATATGTATTGTTGTCCCTGTATACATGTGTTGTTGTCCCTGTGTACATATGTTGTTGTCCCTGTATACATGTATTGTTGTCCCTGTATACATGTCTTGTTGTCCCTGTATACATGTATTGTTCAGTGCTCCAGATAACTTTTTGACATGTGGGGTTTTCACTCCTACCTTTATAAATTGAGGGGTTTTTTCACCCCTGCCTTCAACAAGTGTATGGGTTTTTCCATATTAGGGTAACACTGAATTTGTAAACATTTTTGACAGCGCCATATTTGCTATGCGACTGGTTTATAATCACGATCAAGAAAGCGCTTGTTACGAGTTTCGTTTACTTGATAAGTGTCTGTTTGACTTAGATTATTGAGTTTTCTAACTACGTAATATTGGAGCCGGACATTGACGCAGAGTCCGGATTTCACACGGGTCAATGACGCAAATCTTATTTTTTTCCTAGCGTGAAATTAGAAATATTGTGCGTGAAAACGCATTCACGCAGGCTATCTGGAGCACTGATTGTTGTCCCTTTATACATGTGCTATTGTCCCTGTATACATGTATTGTTGTCCCTATATATATGTATTGTTGTCCCTGTATACATGTATTGTTGTCCCTGTGTACATATGTTGTTGTCCCTGTATACATGTATTATTGTCCCTGTATAAATGTTTTCTCGTCTTGAGTCTGTTTCCTTGAGATTGCAAATTCATGTTTTATAATGTTAAAGGTGTTTGTGAATCTACTGGGTATCAAAGGTTTACCAAATAAGTTGGTTCCTCTAATGATATGCGCTTACCTGTTGGAAAATGGATTGTGCAAAATTAAAAGTGATTCACACAAACGAGATGTTCAGCCTGTCAGCCACACTACCAATAGATGAGTTCATTTCAATAGCGAGGAAATTTATTTCTGAAGAATATTGATATTTGATAGTATGAATTTTAATTTTTTTTTTAATTGAAAACTTTTTTTTATCTCTTTACATTTTTTAAAGCAAGAACACACTTGATTCCATCGACCAGTAAAAGAAAGTTAGATGACCTTGAGACAGAAGATGCTGTAGGGGATAATACAGGGCCCTTGTATCCCCAGATCCCACCTTCAACACCTTCTCAACCCCCAAGGAAGTGTCAGGTGGAGGAAGGATACTCCTGGTGGACATGTGCCATGTATGGGATGCCTTACGACAAATCAAAGCCACAGCCCCGAAAAGCAGAGGGAATCTAAGGATTATATTAATGTTCTGTTATATCTGGCATCCTGAACAGAAGTGTCAGTGAGGCATTCAATTGCAGTAAAGCATATAGAATTCAGAAAATGTTTTACTGACAAACAATGGCCTTTGAATGAGAAAAAACAAACTCTGAAATAATCTCAGTGTATTTTTAAAAGGAAGTTTGATTCTGTATTGTGTAGAATTGATGGTCAGACCACATTGAGAATGTATATAATCAGTGTGTGCTGCAGTGTAATAAAAAAGTGATAGACAATTGAAGAATGTAAAAATAATATCCATTACAGAGGCAAAAATATGTGTAGAAAATGCACATGGACATTTCTGAATTTGCTTAATTTTGAAAGTAGTGAAACAATACTGAAAAAAAACTTGAGTTTATAGGTGGCTGTTACACACTCCGTGTGGGTGTACATAGCAGAACCTGTGCAAAAGTGATGAACAATACTGAAGAACTAGATGTTTCATCAAAATGTCAAGCAATAGTGTCAAATGGTTGTGCAAGGTTAACTGAGGATGCTATTTTGCTCATTTCAAAGAATGATGATGAGTCATATGATAATGACTTCCTTCCCAAGCCACAAGAAAAATCCCTAGAGTGCAACATCCTTCAGAAACCCAATGGAAAAACTCTTGCAAATAACCTCTTTCCGAAACATTTAGAAAAAAATCTGCAAGATGACTCCCTGCTGCAGCCACCAGGAAAACCTCCAGATGGTGACCTTCTGCTGCAGCCACCAGGAAAACCTCCAGATGGTGACCTTCTGCTGCAGCCACCAGGAAAACCTCCAGATGGTGACCTTCTGCTGCAGCCACCAGGAAAACCTCCAGATGGTGACCTTCTGCTACAGCCACCAGGAAAACCTCCAGATGGTGACCTTCTGCTACAGCCATCAGAAAAACCTCCAGATGGTGACCTTCTGCTGCAGCCACCAGGAAAACCTCCAGATGGTGACCTTCTGCTACAGCCATCAGAAAAAATCCTTGTTAGTGACTTGGGGCAGCTACTAGAAAGTTCCCTCAAAGGTGACCACCTTCCCCAGCCCCTAGAGAAACCTTTTGATAGTGACCACCTTCCCCAGCCTCTAGAGAAACCTATTGATAGTGACCATTTTCCCCAGTCTCTAGAGAAACCTCTAGATAGTGACCACCTTCCCCAGCCTCCAGAAAAACCCCTAGATAGTGACTGCTGCGGAACAGGCTGTGTGCCCTGTGTGTTTGACATCTATACGCAAGAGATGAAAATTTGGGAAAGGGAATGTTGCAGAATCAGACAGAAGCATAAATTTGGTGATTACAATGCACAGGTATGTAATTACTATGTGTATAAACAAATAAATATAAGACATCCAAAAGTTCAGGATACATGTAGAACATGATTTAGCTCAGATCTGTTGATTTTCATACCTAAAATGTTACTGTGACACATTCTCTTGCCAATGATATTATAATTACAAGTCTTATTAAATGTGATTTGATAACTTCTTTTAGATTTGGTTGTTTATGTACAAATGTTTTTTGTTTTTTAGTAATGATTTTTGTATTCTTTCAGGATGAAAATGTTAGATTCTTGGCAGAAGCAGAATATCACCAGTTTACATTAGAAAGTATTAGCAGGGTTACCAAGGACACACAAATTTACAGATTTCATCTGCCAATGGGAAGATCACTTGGTCTGAAGCTTGGGCAACATGTCATTCTTAGGTAAAATATCAACTGACTAATAGTTACACTAGGGGGCCAATACATTAACTGCTAATTGGTTTATAAGTTTTTGAACTATATTAACAATGTATAATTGTAGTAATATCATCAGGCATGGGGTATTTCTGGATAAATATGTTATTTTCTCAGTTAAATTTTGTCTAAATTGATGCTACTTGGCACACATATGCATACCTTAGGAGATATTGATTTGCCATGTGGCTCATTTATGTTGTTCATCACTTGTAACTAATTTATCATGTTAATGAGGGAAGGAAGATCCAACATCTGTGCCCAGCAAACAGATTCCACAAGGAATACAAGAATTCAGCCATAGAAGTTTAATACTTCAAAGGGTAAAGATGAATGCTCAGTAGTATGTGAATTTAATTAATTTCTACACATTAGATGTGTCGCCATCAGAACCATACGATCAGATCTGATGACAAGACATCTAATAAGTGAAAACTAGTTGACACTCCTGATGTATCATGCTGTAAGGTATATCTGTTATACAATGTATAACACTGATGATGGGGATTATGTCTATGGTTGTTTTTATCTTGAATAACAGGGGTGTTGTTGATGGAGATGTGGTCACACGCCAGTACACACCTGTGTCTGATGTCAAGGTCACAGACTATTTTGAGCTTCTCATTAAGGTAGATATATGTTAAGGAATATTTTGTAGCTAAATCTGAAATTGAAATGACTGTTAGAGAAAACTGATTTTGTAACATATTATATTTATCTTTATATAAGCCAAGAGGCCAAATTATAACCAGTGACTGTTACAAGAAAGATAGGGGATGGGCTTATTACCTGACGACAAAGTAACATGCATTTGTAATTCTACTGAATAGATATTGGTTAGGATGGGGTTTTTACCAGAGACAAGCTTATTGCTAGATGAATATGGTGCATAGTAGATCTGATATTGGTTTTAATTAATTTGATAATATATGTGAGAAAAAAATGAGCATATTATCAGTGGTTTCCTCATATTATATGACATATGTGCTGTGATCTTCAAATGATTAGGAAAATGTAATGATACTCGGCTGTTTTCAAAAATACAAAAGCTGTTCCAGTGTGGATGACTGGATTATCAAGTTTCCTCTGTAAAGCGGAGTGACTGGATTATCAAATTTTCATTTCTTTGATGTAATTTCTTTTTTCTTTTGTTAAGCTGTATGAGAATGGCAAGATGTCACAGTTCATCCGAGCTTGGAAGCCAGGAATTAAAGTGGATCTTAGAGGCCCATTTGGGGAATATTCCTATACACCAAACCAGGTTTGACACCTTTACATCAATCTAGATTTATTTTCCACCTCTGAAGTAATCAATAATATCTTTTCAGATTAGTTATTTATTTTTGTATGTACAGGTAATATGTTATAACACCCCTCCAGTTCAGATCTCCCCTAGATTATTCTTGTGGTAAGTTTTCTACCAGTACACTCTCAGTATCAATTACAGCTTATGAATTTCTTTAGAAGGAGTGTGATTGTTAGTGAGTCATTTACATGACTTGACATGAAACAAGGGTGGTTTACTGAGAGTACCAGAGTTATGTAACAGTATACTGTAAAATTTTATATTTTTATGGGGCTCAATTTTTGTGAGTTTTCAAAAAAAAAAAAAAACCCAAAAAACAACTATTTCATGAATATATGATTTCATGGATAAATATAACTTAATAAATCTACTTAAAATTATCTTAACAGATTGTGGACATATGTTGTTTGATTAAAAAAAACTTAGGAAAGAAATGACTGTAACTGCCCCATTAAAGTTAAATATTCTCAATACATGTATTTGATATATCTGCAAGTATTTGTTGTAGAATTTCTTTTTACTGGTTTGTCAGGTTTGTTCAGATGATTAGATGAATTACGGTAAAATCTCAGTCTTCTAAACATACACAATGAAAAGAATAACAATCCATGACCACGTCCATTGCAACCATGCTTCAAATTTGTTCAAAAGAATTGTTTTGAGTTGCCCTCCAAGATTTGAATTTAATAAAACTTTTTAGAATCATTTAGGGCTAGTGATAATTAATTGTCTCAATGTAAAATAACAAGAGAGTAGAGAAAGCGAAGTTAGAAGTCTGATTTTACCGACATATTAAGTATGTAGCTTGCTTAGGTAACTTACTATTGTTGCAATTTGAAAAAGATACTTTGAATGTTGAAAATTATGTAACTGAAGGTAAGGCGTAGAAATATGAATCTGTAGTGTCTGTTTGCTTGACCCTCGTGTTTGTTTAATGACACCATGATTGTCTAAGAGGTGCCTTATAGTTGTATTGCTATCAGTAGCAGGCATCTGATATGGAAGGCTCCTTTTATTGGGAACTCTGATAAAATGATTTTCCTGTTGAGAGAAATCTGTGTATAACTGGTTTCTATGAGAATTTAAGAATGAATTTGTTTGAGTTAGATAAAAGTACATGTATTACCAAGCATCATAGAACATGTGTATCATATCCATGTACTTATTGTTTGTAGCATGCACGACTTATGATGCTGGCAGCCGGTTCTGGAATAGCACCTATGGCACAGATAATCCAAGGCATTCTCAACAATGAGGAGGACGATACACGTATCCAGTTGCTTTATGCTTGTCGCACCTACAATGACATTTTAATGAAGTCCCAGTTGGACGAGTGGACAGAGTTCTGGAATTTCTCAGTACTCTACGTACTTAGCCAGGTAAGTGTGATTGAACACTCTAAAATCTGTAAAATTTGACTTAAATATTTTTTTACTTTCTGAAAATGTGGATTTTATCTTTTTAATTTTATTACTTTAACCAACATAATCAGACAATGGATTGCTGCAATTATCTATTCTCCATGGTCCAATGCTGATTTAAAAATAAAAAAAGATGATTCTATGTTGAAATCAAGATGACAGCATGGCTGACTACTGTGCTTTGACTTCTAACAGTAGAGAGGCAGGAAATTACAGGAGTGATGTGGTTATGTCTATTTCTTCAAAAATCATCCTGCATGGAAGAAAATAAACATTTTGAATTGAAACAATTGAAATACCAAGGTCATATGATGATAGATACATGAAATGGGTTTACATACATCTAGATTTTTCTTTATATCTTTCTTTCAACTACATATTTTGCAATTCTATTGAAACAGGAGCCTACAAGAGCTAAAAATAACTACAGATACAGTGACAAAGTACAGCTGGGACGTCTGGACAAAGACTTGCTTGCTAATGAACTACGAACACCTGTCCTCAGTAGTACAAGGATTCTGATCTCAGGCACTAAATCCTTTGACAAGGACATGCTCAAATATTGCAAGATTTTGGGCATACAGGACTGTGATATCCATAAATTCTAATTCATTTATACATTACTGACAGGGAATGCTGAAATTGAATAGTGGTTTAGTATACATCGTGTTGTATATAGGATCTTGTTTAAGAGAAATCTTATTTGATAAAGAATTATTTAATAGTATTTTGTTATTTCACATAATTCTCTGTATGCTCATATGTAGGGGTGTTGAAAGGAACTTAGGTAAAGGAAAGGGCAGATCTGATATCAGCTGCATTATCCAAATAAAAGAGGCCCATCAAACATATCACAGACAGCAGTGGAAGAGTTGTAACACTTGGAAATGAGAGCCATGTCAAAATAACCAAAGACCAGTCAATCTTTCCGTCAACAGTGCTGTAAAATACCACTCTACCACACTCAGACAAGTCAATCTTTTTACCAATGGCCTCTATAAATACAACTCTACCACACTTAGACAAGTTAATCTTTCCATCAACAGTGCTGTAAAATACCACTCTACCACACTTAGACCAGTCAATCTTTCCATCAACAGTCCTGTAAAATACCACTTTACCACACTTAGACCAGTCAATCTTTCCATCAACAGTCCTGTAAAATACCACTCTACCACACTTAAACAAGTTAATCTTTTTACCAGTGGCCTCATCAAATACCACTCTACCACACTCGGACAAGTTGTTCTTTTTACCAATGGCCTCTATAAATACCACTCTACCACACTTAGACAAGTTAATCTTTCCATCAACAGTGCTGTAAAATACCACTCTACCACACTTAGACCAGTCAATCTTTCCATCAACAGTCCTGTAAAATACCACTCTACCACACTTAAACAAGTTAATCTTTTTACCAGCGGCCTCATCAAATACCACTCTACCACACTCGGACAAGTTGTTCTTTTTACCAATGGCCTCTATAAATACCACTCTACCACACTTAGACAAGTTAATCTTTCCATCAACAGTGCTGTAAAATACCACTCTACCACACTTAGACAAGTAAATCTTTCCACCACCTGTCCATCAAATACCACTCTATCACACTTAGACAAGTCAATCCTTCCACCAAAAGTGCTGTAAAATACCACTCTACCACACTTTGACCAGTCTGTCCTTCCACCACCTGCCCATCAAATACCACTCTACCACACTTTGACCAGTCTGTCCTTCCACCACCTGCCCATCAAATACCACTCTACCACACTTTGACCAGTCTGTCCCTCCACCACCTGCCCATCAAATACCACTCTACCACACTTTGACCAGTCTATTTCTCCACCACCTGCCCATCAAATACCACTCTACCACACTTTGACCAGTCTGTCCTTCCACCACCTGCCAATCAAATACCACTCTACCACACTTTGACCAGTCTGTCCTTCCACCACCTGCCCATCAAATACCACTCTACCACACTTTGACCAGTCTGTCCTCCACCACCTGCCCATCAAATACCACTCTACCACACTTTGACCAGTCTATTTCTCCACCACCTGCCCATCAAATACCACTCTACCACACTTTGACCAGTCTATCCCTCCACCACCTGCCCATCAAATACCACTCTACCACACTTTGACCAGTCTGTCCTTCCACCACCAATCCTGTCAAATACCACTCTACCACACTTTGACCAGTCTATCCCTCCACCACCAGTCCTGTCAAATACCACTCTACCACACTTTGACCAGTCTGTCCTTCCACCACCAGTCCTGTCAAATACCACTCTACCACTTTGACCAGTCTATCCCTCCAACACCTGCCCATCAAATACCACTCTACCACACTTTGACCAGTCTGTCCTTCCACCACCTGCCCATCAAATACCATTTTACCACACTTTGACCAGTCTATCCCTCCACCACCAGTCCTGTCAAATACCACTCTACCACACTTTGACCAGTCTGTCCTCCACCACCTGCCCATCAAATACCACTCTACCACACTTTGACCAGTCTGTCCCTCTACCACCTGCCCATCAAATACCACTCGACCACACTTTGACCAGTCTGTCCTCCACCACCTGCCCATCAAATACCACTCTACCACACTTTGACCAGTCTGTCCCTCCACCACCTGCCCATCAAATACCACTCTACCACACTTTGACCAGTCTGTCCCTCCACCACCTGCCCATCAAATACCACTCTACCACACTTTGACCAGTCTGTCCCTCCACCACCTGCCCATCAAATACCACTCTACCACACTTTGACCAGTCTGTCCCTCCACCATCTACCCATCAAATACCACTCTACCACACTTTGACCAGTCTGTCCTCCACCACCTGCCCATCAAATACCACTCTACCACACTTTGACCAGTCTATCCCTCCACCACCTGCCCATCAAATACCACTCTACCACAGTTTGACCAGTCTGTCTTTCCACCACCTATCCATCAAATACCACTCTACCACACTTTGACCAGTCTATCCCTCCACCACCTGCCCATCAAATACCACTCTACCACACTTTGACCAGTCTGTCCTTCCACCACCAGTCCTGTCAAATACCACTCTACCACACTTTGACCAGTCTATCCCTCCACCACCAGTCCTGTCAAATACCACTCTACCACACTTTGACCAGTCTGTCCTTCCAACATCAGTCCTGTCAAATACCACTCTACCACACTTTGACCAGTCTATCCCTCCACCACCTGCCCATCAAATACCACTCTACCACACTTTGACCAGTCTATCCCTCCACCACCAGTCCTGTCAAATACAGTATATATAATAAAATTAGCTAACTAAACATACTTGCTACATTCATTATAACATAACAGTAATGCTTTGTGTATCATGTTCTGACCATTCTGACATGATGTAACAGGTCAGTACTTTGAACACACTAAAGAAGTGTTCATTACAGGAACAGTATGATAAAACAGAAAACAAAATTTTGATTTATTGTGTTTATTTGCAATTTGATTGCCATGCTCAGTAAACATATATATACTTATATACATGGATTGCTGAAATCATGAAATGCAGTGAACTTTTTAGAGGTAGGTCACGGTGACAGGGACATTAACTCTCATCAGTGATGGGTCCAACGACAGCAACAGCTTCTATTTCCACCTTGGCGCCCTACCACATATACAATGTGTTATTTCTGTTACATTTAGTTAAAAACAGGAATTCCGATATGAAGATAAATTATTTATGAATGAATTTTTACATACAAAATCTCACATGAGTGTACATTTGATGTGTGATTTGTTACATGACTTTGAAGATTTGAAACTGTTTCAGTTGAATGAAATAATCAATAATCGAAATCAATTTGTCTCGAAGATTCAACTTCAACTGATGATTTCCACTTCATTTCATTAACACAAGTGAAAAGATATTATTAAGAGAAAGATTCAAAGAGAATGTCCAACAAGACATACAGTATCAAATGTAGTGTCAAGAAACTATATGTACAAACCCTTGGAAGTGCTGCCACTTGTACCAAAGCCCTGGCTGGAAAGTTTTTTGTAAAATCTGAATTATAAAACAAACAAAAAAAACATGAGTATTAGTGGAACTTCTAAACAATTTTATTGAAGGTTTTTTTCTGTACGTGAATTTTGTATTTGGTCATATAAAAAACTGTGCTCTGCACACAAAATTTTAACAAAGGGCAATAACTCATTAACAAAAGGTTTCGGACCCTAACTTTGGTACACTGCATATCATTAGTCAATGTATAAACTAAGTTTCAGTATCCTAGTTTAAATGCAAGGAAAAAGCTACGCCCTGAACTCAAATTTTAATGAAATGGAAATCTCTATAAAAGGGGGTTTTTGGGGGTTTGAATCTAGTACACTGCACCTCATCCTGATATAAACACCAAATTTCATAATCCTTGCTGAACTGTGGGCAGTTAAATATATACAAAGTGGAAAATTTTCAGGGAGCATAAAAATTCACAACTCATGGTAGGCCTTCTTTTGGTTAACATGGCAACCAAAGGATAAGTAACATTTTGGTAAATACTTCCAATGCATCTGCCTTTTCATGTACCAGTTTTAAACATAATCAGACAGACAATGCTCAAATTCTGACTAATCATAAGTCTTCATTATGTTTCCATGGTGACTTTTTTGGAAATTTTGATGTTTCAAATTATAGGCTTTGATAAGTTACAACATTCAATCTCATATGATTCTAATTTTTTCAATGATTCGTGAGCTATTAGACATTAAACAAATATATTATGTACAGTGACCTGGTTACCATGGCAGCAAATGTTTTTGCTTAAAATACCTGCATGCATACACAACTACATATGGTCTCTACCATTCCTGTGTTTTTTTCATTGAAAATTAGTTTTTCAAATTAAGAGAAAATTTCCCAAGCAAGATTTGCAGATGGTAGATTAACATTCAAAACAACCAGACAGGGTGATTTCAGCAGCACTATACTTCGTCCACTCCCTTATTGACCCTGCCTTGGTCACCTGTATACAAAAACATATTACCAGTGCTCTTCCTTAGAGCATTCCTCTTGGGAAAGTGAGCTTAACAAAACTAATCTAAATAATGTGACCAGTTTCATGAATTTACAAGCACAGGGCTATGCTAATGTCTAACCTGTATTTATGTTTCTTAATACAATGAATGTAGACTAGAGGCTTGATATAACCTTAGTACTTCATAACTGTTACGATGTTACAAACTCACTCTTTGCATACTCTGTATTAACAGCTGTGAAGTCGTTGATATCTTCAAGCATCACGGTAGCTTTTACCACTGCAAACATCAATACAAATGACATGAATTAACTCTTTATAGAATCTGTTGGCAAGCAGTGCATTAGATTGATTTGTTTTGGCAATCATTCTGCTAAACACAGACACAACATTTAGTTTACCATTGTCAAATGATGCTCCAGCAGCCTCCAATATGGCTCCCATGTTTTTCATGACCTGCAGTATAATTACATGTAAACGATAATGGAAGAAAAAGCAGATCAAATTCCATTTTTGGCTGGGGAACATGAAATGTTTTTACTAACTTCAATCCAAAAATTCCAATATTATAAGATCCCATTGGACCTGTGGAACTATATTACAAGAACCTATGGAGGAGCAAATTTGCAACAAGAATTAAAATTAAGTTCATATTGTCTTTTAAATATTTATACAACCATTACAATTAAACAGCATTAAATATTCTTTGTCCAAAATATCCACCTGCTGTGTCTCTGGAATGACCCCACCTTCAACCATCACACCTGTGGTTGGTTTTAATCCGATCTGCCCTGATATGTACAATGTATGGTCTACACGCACAGCTTGGCTGTCAGTTGTAAAGAGATACCAGAAAGATAAAAGGTTTGATCATCAGCATTACTTTTACCAGAGGAAACAAGGTTTGATCATCAGCATTACTTTTACCAGAAAGATAAAAGGTTTGATAATCAGCATTACTTTTACCAGAGAGAAACAATGGTTGATCATCAGCATTACTTTTACCAGAAAGAAACAAGGTTTGATCATCAGCATTACTTTTACCAGAAAGAAACAATGGTTGATCATCAGCATTACTTTTACAAGAGGAAACAATGGTTGATCATCAGCATTACTTTTACCAGAAAGAAACAAGGTTTGATCATCAGCATTACTTTTACCAGAAAGAAACAATGGTTGATCATCAGCATTACTTTTACCAGAAAGAAACCATGGTTGATCATCAGCATTACTTTTACCAGAAAGATAAAAGGTTTGATCATCAGCATTACTTTTACCAGAAAGAAACAAGGTTTGATCATCAGCATTACTTTTACCAGAAAGAGACAAGGGTTGATCATTAGCATTAATTTTACCTGAAAGAAACAATGGTTGAATATTAGCGCAACTGTGAAAGGAAAGGAACAAGAGTTGGTCATTAGCACCACAGATACAGAAGAGTAAAAGGGTTTGGTCACCAGCACAATTGTTTCTAGACAGAAACCAGGTTTGGTTACCAGCACAATTGTTACTAGACAGAAACCAGGTTTGGTTACCAGCACAATTTTTACTAGGCAGAAACAAGGGTTGGTCACCAGCACCATTGTTACTAGACAGAAACAAGGGTTGGTCTTTGGAACCATAGTTGCAAGAGAAAATGGTTTGTCACTGGCACTACTTTTACAGAAGAGGTACAAAGGTTCGTCATTGGCACCATTCTTACAGAGGAGAAGCAGGTTACAATTACCATTGTTACCACAGAGATTAAAGACAGTCACTTGCACCATTGTTACCGGAGAGAAGCAAGGATTAGTCACTGGCACCACAATAAGGGAGACAGACAAGAATATGTCACAGGCACCAATGTAGCTGGAGAAAAACAAGGGTTGGTCACTAGCCAACAGGTTCTTGTGATTAATACGTGCTTCTGGACATGTGATTTTTCCACCATTAAATATGGTAAGTTAAAGAACCAAAGCAAGACCATTTGGTGAATTACAAGTCGGCATTGACACACTGCCTCACCAAGGTGAACCTGTACCCCATGTAGACAAGTGACAAGTAGTGTCTTGGAAATAGAGCCCAGACAAACCTTTTTTGATGTAGGTTATGGGTCAGAGTGACCTACTTTTGATACATGGCACACTGGCCCAACAAGGTTATCTCATACACAAAGTTTGAAATCCTAGTGACATTTTTTTCTCTGATGTAAGTCAATCGTCACCTACATTTGATACATAACACACCATCTCATCAAGGTCAATTCATATCCAAAGTATGAATTTCCAGTGACAAAAAATGTAGGAGATAGAGTCTGGACAAACCTTTTCTCTGATGGGTCAAAGGTCAAACTGTAGGTCACAGTGACTTACATTTGATACAAGTATGACACACCGCCTCCCACAGATTAGTCCCATAGCCACAGTATTAATAACAAAATAGTGGGAGGATGGACGGCACTACAAATGGATGCAATGCAAAACTATAGTCCTCTCTACCTCTCCCTGGTTCCCAGTATGGGAATAACAACTTGTGCAGTAGACTTAAACAACCAAGAGTCTAATCATTACATTTCTTATTTTTATGGAAAAGATAATGATTCAAAAACAAAGAATCTTTTCATACACATACCTGTGAAGCAACTGTACAAATACTGTCTTCAAAACTACCCTAAACACCCATATACTGCACCTACGACACTCAAACTCTTTCTAAAAACTAAGCAATCCCGTTCGCCGTGACCTCCTGATGTTGGATGGATCTGGAGGTGATATGAATGCATGTGTTTGCAATATGACCCCACAGTGATGAGTTTTCATCAATGTGGACAATCACGGCTTTAGTAATATTTTCCAGTGTTGAATTAGTCTATCCATGTGTTCACCTGGTGAAAAACGTTTACTTCAGAAAAGTTCAACATCAAATTTCAAATAACCTAGTCGCGAAATATTCACTTAAGATATATACACCTTAAAATGAACCCATTTAAGACACTTGGGAATACAAGTGGGCGCAAAGGGATTTTTCCTATTAATTTCAATAAGACTGTTAAACAAATTCTTCTAATTTTGTCCGTAAAGCAGATATGTGTTGCCGATATATATGCGTTATACCTATTTTCCGTACAAAACAAATATCGGGAGCCGTAAAAGAGTGTCTTTTCACCATATAAACAACGTTTATATTGTTTCCTGTTTCTATGTGATTTTTGGGATTATCGAGTGTTTTAAAGTAGTTTAAGGAGTTTTTGAGTAGTTTGAGGGTGTTTTGGGTAGTTTTTGTGTAAAGTTCAAGTGTCGACCTTAAGATTAGTTAATGTAAGTGTAACATAAAACGAAAGTAGATCGCCATATGTAGGCCGGATGTCCATCACACTAATGTTTACCTGTATGAACCAATAGCTGCTGGAGCATTCGACGTCTGAATAATTTTTCTAACAACTCCTGCCATTCTAACGTAAAATTATGTAACAGAGACGTGTGTCAATCTTATCTGCGACTTCCCCGTGCTTGACCTCGCGAATGTCTTTTTCTACCTTTCATTTAAAGAGTTCCTCTAGCCAACATGTCTGCGTCCATTCGAAAAACGTGGAAAGAAAGAAAGAGTGTTGTTTGACGTTTTGTACTAAATAACACGAAGGTAATTGTGTGAAGCATATTTTATTTTAATCTTATTACAAAACAGTTACTGAAGTAAATTTGAATTGGCAACTATGATGCAATTCTACCTTTAGCTAAATATGCTGGTAAATTTAGTTCTCTAGTAAATAAAAACTATGAACATATATACTTATCAAGTTGAGCACAGCCTGCTATGCTCCCGTATGACTGCATTGGTGGATCTGTGACACGGCGCCTGTCAAACAGGCACAGATCTGCATATGGGTATAAAGTGGGTATTTGAGAAATAGTTACTCCTTTGAGTAATCAAATAGTTATGATATTACAGTACATGATTTGCCTAGGATAACTCATAAAGCCACTAGGTACATGAAGCTTGTTTCCAATGCCATTTTCCGCTGTGGTGCCCAACACGCTCATCTAAAGCAAAGTGTTACCTTGATAGAAAACATCAGTGGTATATATCAACTTTTTGCATATTGATGAACCACTGCAGATCAATATAAAAAAGTTGATAGAACGTCAGAATAATTAATTGTAATTAAAACGTACCAGGACACTATACCCCAGTGTGCACTATACCCGCAAATTTAATGTATGACATATCCTCGGAAATCTCTGATGTACATTTTATGTACGGCATGTCTTTTACCTGATTAAATATTATCATTATTGAAAACAAAAGAAGAGGATTGTTTAGTGCTGAACAAGATCAAAAGCATATGTATTTCGATTAGAGCAAGATCTAGAACTACACACTAAGTTTAGTGCACTTTTGCATAACATGCCTGTACATAAACTTCTGAGTTCATCTTTGAAGAATTGCCAGTAATCACAAGAAGTAGAGGCCTGTGGCTAAAGCAGTGATAGACACTAATTCCTAAACTAGATTAATATTAGTATTTAGTATCAGGGCTCTCACACCCCATTTTGGGACTGGGGCCTGGGGCCCTTAGAATTGGGAAAAATAGCGGCGTTTTCCTTGGAATTGGGAAAACTTGGGGTCTAAATTGGGAAAAAAAGATACTATTTTGCATTGGGAATTTGGCCCCAAATTTTGCAGATCAAGAGCCCTGGGTATACTTATTTACTTCTCTTTCATACAGATGGCTAAGCAGAAAGGATCAAAGCGTAAGAGAGAGGAGGAAGAAGACATACTTCACTTTGCACCCAGAGGTATGTAAGTTGTAAGTCTGTTGAAGATGACCATTATTGATTAATGCTATATTCAGGATCAACAATGAAGCCATCAATCAACAAAAGTATACAGCTTTCATCCAAACCATCACTTATATTGACAGGGAGGAGAAATGAACATGAATGCAATGTAGGAACTCACCATTAGGACTGAATCTTTATAATTAACTTGAGGTTAAGCAATTGAAAACTTTTAATATGAAGATTTAGATTCTCAACTTTCTGCTGTGTGCAAGATGTTAAAAAGAGTGATCGAAATATCCAATGAAGTTTCACACACTATATTTGTTAGATTTTAATGTATACATGTTGTTGCACAATGCACTAACTGTGCCAGCAGGTTCTATTCATGAAGGTAAACACCAATTGACTACTTGTCAGATATTTGTAGCAGCTATGAAGAAATTTAATAGACGTAGAAAATCTTCATTTCTGTGCCCCGGAACATTTACTTCTAGTTGGTTGTTGGCAGGGTAATAAAGCCAACGAACAAATGTATGGTTTGACCAATTCAAGCTGTTTTCACAATCTTATTGCTATCTTGTCTTTACTTACCACTCTAGTGTACATAAGACTATACTACAGCTTAAAATTCCTGTGAATATATTATCATCTAATACAATGTGAAGTGCAATTATGTTTCACACTTTGAATTTGTCTTATAATGGTAACAGAATAGTAATTGAAACATCATATGGTATTCTTAAATCTTTGGCATCCAGATTAATCTAACACAAAATGTGTACTTTTTCTGTAATTTTTTTAATAATAATGCTGAGAGCCTAACTGAAGGCTTGTCTATGTTTTGTACACAGAAATTGGGGTGGTGGAGTATGTAGAGAACAGAGCAGCAGAGATCAAGGCTCTCCAGAAGTATCTTGGTGAGTCAAGGGGGAACCGTCTTGTTATGCAACTTCTCCCCAAAGGTCTGAGACGACGAGCCCTAAGTCACGACATCAAACGACTGCCACGGCGACTACGTGAAGCTGCTAAGAAAGAAGTATGTGGAAATTGATAACATAAAATTTTCAATAATTACTCATTTAATTTATTCCAAAGACAAAGGAAACACAGAGAAATAAACAAATAAGTAATGTAGATAAGTGGAAAATATCCAATTAAATAGATGTGTAAGAAAATGTCAACTATGCTGTGTATGTTGTTGCTGTAAAAGATCATCACTAGTTCTGCTATATTACCCACACAGTAAGTAGAATGCTTTAGGTTGTTGAAGTTTGAATCTCTAAAAGTTCATACAGGATCCATCCAGAATATCAGCTGATTTTAGGGTTAGGTCTGTATAGTTATACATAAGGACGTTTTTATGAATAATGTGAGACTCTAAGCTAAAAACAATTTGTCTCTCAGTATGTCAACCGTGATACAAAGACACGAAGAAAACCTCCAAGTCGTAAGTTTCGTCGACGTCCAAATAACTTACTGGATGAGTATGATAGAAGGCAGAGGAAGCATGTTTGGTTGGAGACACACATTTGGCATGCTAAAAGATTCAAAATGGAGGAAAAGTGGGGGTACAAAATCCCACTACAACCAACAGACAAAAGCAAGAGAGCAGCCTACAGGTCAACGAAACACCACTGTCTCATTCAGGTACGCTAACGTGTATCATCATTACAGGTTAACAGAACATCAATCTCGTAAACCATCGTGTGAAAGGTAAACTAATCATTGACTTTGTGTAAAATGTACCCAGTAATCAAAAAGTGGGAAAGTTGTGTTTATATTATATGTTTTGTTTTGTTTTTATTTTTACAACTGTAAACATACCTGATTTAGCACATTATCACTTTTTTGGCAAATTAGAACAATGATGAAATACGATAAAACTCACTTGTGTCAAACAAATTCATCGGATAAGTCAAATGTTTTGTTTAGCCCAGAGGTTTTCTGTTCTCTGTCTTAGTAAATTAAACATGGATGATTTGCACACTGTTTAGTGGAATACTGCGTTTGTGTCAACATATTTTGTGGTCCATTCCTTATGAATTCTACCAAAATTTCCTTTTTTGTGTCAAACATTCAAGCATCACCTAGCCTCAGGTAAAAATATCCTGACTTTGGTCCGAATGACGGTGTGTGATCCGTATTAACAAGCGCTAGTGTAATTTAAGGATTAAACATTAATCCCAGTGTTTACGCAGGTAAACAGGTGAAAGTTAGAATTTATACCCAGTTAGACAACCAAGCTTAAAACAAAAAACCACCTCATGACTGGCAGAAACTAAAACGAAAAGCAAGCGATAAATAACATACCGATGCAAATTAATAAAAATCCTAGTTCGTTATTGACACATTTGTTTATGATTTTAAATACATTTCCCGGATATACATGTACATAGAAGAAAGTTTGATTTAATTCTATTTACAGTTATGCTTTTATGGTGCTGTACCTGTAAAGTTACGTTTCAGTGACACTGATGCGGCCTTCACCCTTTCGTAGCCCACCTCATTGCTTTTGATATTATATCAATGTAGAATGTTCATGAGTACATATTTATTTAGTTTTGTTTTAAAATATTGTTGACAGGATTTCTTACTCTTAAGGATATAAATGGGAGTTTGATAATTATTGCCTTAGGTATTGATTTCATTAAGTTATGTGTGTGAGAGTGGGTGCATATCTACATGTGTGCTGCAATTCAATGATGAGTGTTTCACATTACATTTTCAGTTTTATCTTTGTACTTATTACTGTTCATTTAAATAAAATATTTTTATTTAATTTATTACTTGTTCGTTACTCTCAAGCCATCTGTGAGACATGTATTCAGTAAACAACTGATGAAATAGGGTCAGTCTTTGATTCACAGTGTCTCCATTCATAGAAACATGGCTTCATTGAACCATCAGATAATTGTAATATTTCATTTGATCCCATCAACTTACACTTATCCGTGTTTTACTGTATGTACATTTACAGTATACTTGATTAAAAATTTAAATGATTTTGAAATTTTTAAATATTGTGTATTGATCAAAAGTGAAGAGATAAAGGATGGTGAAAGTCCTTAGCATCACTGATGAGTCCAAGGAGGACAACACAGCTGTATGATGCAGTTTAATTCATTGTTTGGCTCTATTGTTTCTTACTATAATTTGTATTAATAGATGCTATTCACTTGTGTGTCTTTAGTACAATCTTTAGTATTTATCGTGATTTGAGGAGGTCATGATATGGCAATTATCAGGTCGATCTGAGGACCAGATCAGTCGGCGACACTGATTTTCATATTGGTGTATATATGTAAGTGATATTATTCCAAAGTCGAGGTAGATGTTGCCTGTATGCACCATCCATTTAGATTTGAATGTTTTCAATTTCATTTTAGGACCATTCATATATGTGCTGCATTGAGCTGAAAGGACCAGAGCATTGTCTACTAGATGGTCTGAGTCACATGACGAATAATTCCACAGGTAAATAACCATAACAGACTGGTACAACATACATATATTATCACAGGATCTTAATCAGTAAAAAAATGTGTTTGGTATTTAAATAATGCAAAGCATGTAACATTACCTTAGTTAAACTAAGATTTATAAGTGAAGCAAATTTCTGGCATTTAACTTTGATAAGTATGATGCTGAAATTTAGCTACAGATATGAAAGAGCTTAGTTTGATAAGTATGATGCTGAAATTTAGCTGCAGATATAAAAGAGCTTAGTTTGATAAGTATAATGCTGAAATTTAGCTGCAGATATAAAAGAGCTTAGTTTGATAAGTATAATGCTGAAATTTAGCTGCAGATATAAAAGAGCTTAGTTTGATAAGTATAATGCTGAAATTTAGCTGCAGATATAAAAGAGCTTAGTTTGATAAGTATAATGCTGAAATTTAGCTGCAGATATAAAAGAGCTTAGTTTGATAAGTATAATGCTGAAATTTAGCTGCAGATATGAAAGAGCTTAGTTTACTACATTTATGTGTTCCATTGCATTTTAATCAAGACAAAACTTTCAGCCACGGTCCACATTGATCAGTATTTTGTGGTAAATGTTAATTACAACTTTATTTGTATCTTTTTCCTTTTTAATTTTTCTCTGTATATTTTTGGTTTTGTTTTATGTTATTAAAGTCAATTAAATATCCTTGGCTATATAAATTTTTCCCCTGTGGGATTCCAGGGCAGACTTTTGCAGCTAAGGGCTGCCTGTCAGGGATCAGGGAAGGCCACACCATGCTCTACTCATGCGATCATTATCCACTTGGGGCCATTGGATGTGCCTCGTTTCTATGGAAACCTCAGACAGGAAGTGATCTGACAACAGATTTGCGGCAGCTTTGGATATGGGTCCATCCTGGCTGTCATGAGGAGGTCTGTCAGAACCTAGAGAAATCATTCCTGTTCTCCAGGGAGGTTGAAGCTCAAGGCCAGGAAATGGAAGTTGTTACAGAAACTCAAGTGAAGGTCTCCAATGTTTTTATTGATGAAACAAATCAACAAAAAAAAGATGATGTACATGTTGACGAAATTAAGACAGTTGTATCCAAAGCAAAAGAGATTTACAACAATGAGACATCAAAGGACATTTCTATAAAAACAAATTCAAACAATGTGAGAAAAAATGACAAAGACAGCAAGAAAAAATTGGCAACATGGAAGGTGAGGGCTGGTGAGGTGTGGATGGAGTCCCTAAAGGATTGTCTAGTGCGATTCCGTCTAACAGGGCCTACCTCACAAACGGTCCTATCACAAACACTTCAGGTACACCTGCATTTTATCAAATTTTAAATCAAAGTTGCTTTTGCTGATGTTATCTTATACCTACTGCTTTCCTTTTGTATATTTAGGTCATTTCACGCAAATGGTCTGGATGACCTATATCAGTGGTGTTCTCTTTGTCATGTGCTGTATGTTATGCTTAAAAGTTGCCATTCAAACTACTTTTCTCATTAACAAAAAATCCAAAGGTTCTCATTTTAGGCATGTAGTCAGCTTGAATGAAGGACTATCAGGTTTCTTTATATAAATGACCTTGACCTACTTCCCAAGGTCACATTGGTGAAATGTATTAAAATGTTTAAATAACATTTTCTCCATAATAAAAAAGCCAAGGGTGCTGATTGAGCCTGTAGTATATTGGGATGAAGGGTCACCAAGTTTGTTGAAATGAATGAGCTTGATCCACTTTCAATATCACAGGTGCAAAATATGTTTAAATCTTAATACAACTTCTCAATAACCCATTAGGGCCATGGTGGTTGAGTAGCTAAAATGTCTGACATCACTAGCCCTCCATCTTCGCGTCACAGGTTAAAGGCCTTTGTCAGTTTTCTCGGAGAACTCAAGTTTTCTTCCACCACCCAAACATGGCACATCCTTAAATGATCCTACCTGTTAAAAGGACATAAGGCAACAGTAAACTAAACTAAATTATCAATATTGGTTCTGTAACATCAGAGAATTAAGGGCTACAAAGTTTATTCAGATGATTGAAATTGACCTACTTTTTAGTTCACAGGATTCAAAGATGTTATGAACTTGAAATTCCTTTTTCCATTTAGCAATAGTTCCTGGGTTATGGTATTTGTAGTGGTATGCTTTAAGAGAAGGTTTTCAGGTTTGCAGAAATTGACTTTAAGAATTGATAAAGTCTTCTGTGTAAGCTGTAGAACATGTAAGCGATTCTTGTCCATTGGGTCTCTTGTTTGCCTTCATTATTGAAATATCCATAAATCTGAACTGCTTTTATAACCATTCATACTTATGCAGTTGTTATACTAGAAATAGATCAATAAAGCCAGATGTCTGTTATGGCACATGGGCATCTTTTACATCATGTTCTATTTAAACTTTGTTGTCTTTCCCATTAATTTTTTCTATCATTGCTGTATACTGAATGCTTTTCTTTTTCCTGTTACACTGTATATACCTAGTAAGAAAGTAAGGTCTATAGTTTTACTTATTCAACATAATATATCATGACTTACTAATTCTTGTTCTTGTCTTTAATGGAATGACTTTCAGGTGGCTGACATGTTACCACAAGATGTTAGTGGTGAGTTTTGGTGGCAGCAGTTCTACAGCAAGGATCACACATCCATTGGCCATACACAGCAGAAACAATTCTGGAATGAGATTACCAAGTGCAGATCTCCAGGGGAGCTAACTCCCCATCTAGTGTTAGGTCTGACAGTGCGGGACCCCAGGATCCTCATGCCAGACATCAGAACGAAAGTTACAGAAAGCCAGGAAGGTAAGATTAAAACTTGTGTTTTTTAATATAGATATTCGAAAGAAACACAGTGTTTTATCAAAGTATTAATTTTCCAGTTATTGATAACTGGAAGGAATAGAATCACTTACTAGATGGAGGTTGTTATAGATACTCAGGAAGAATATCTTGATAACATATTATTTTGCATTTAATTGAATAAATACATGGTAAGTCTTGATACATCCACCACTAGATCTTATTCACTGAAACCTTTAATGGTGACAGATATTGTGGTCATTTACTCTTATGTTTTCCTGTGAGAATTAAGGGAAATCATAAATATTTTGAAAAATCATGTTCTTCTCTAGACTAAAAATATTGTGAATTTCTCAAATTAGACTTAGCACATTGCATTTTTAGCCTGTTGTTACCAATCCTTGCTTTTTGTTCGATTGAAAAATGCCAAGGTCACCTCAACAATCAGCATTCATAGATATCCCTGCAATCATTTAAGACAGCTGTTGTTTAATGTTTTGAAATTTTTCATTTAATGTTTTATTTTTGTAAGTGCATTTTGTTTTAAGTGGATTGTGGTCAGTCACAATGGTAAAGTGGACACCACTAATATAATAGGAGAATGACTCAACACTCCAAACGATAGCTAAACATTCCTTCTCCACTGTAGAGTAATTTTGTTCCCGCGGCAGTAACTTTCTGCTGATGTACACAATAGGGTGTTCCTTATCTTTGATATTCTGACTTAAGACCGCTCCAATAGCCACGTTGCTGGCATCAGTCTGAATGACACCTGACAGATTCACAATTCATTTATTGAGTAAAATTTCTGTAGTTGTTCACTGGGATGATTGATGGAAATCTAGTGAAATTTAGTAATGCGTATTATGATCCAACAATAATTTAGATTCTTTATCTTTATTATGATCACATATACACATATATACAAATACATGAAAAGGTCTTTATTATGTCGCTGAATAAGCATTCTTCTTTAGCTCTGTTGGTAGTCATGTATTATCACATAAGAGACTGGCTAATTTCTGTCAAGGAACTAGGTAGGGATGTGTTTTTCTTTGTTCTTTCACATAAGCTCTAACATTGGGCCCAAGAGGTAATGATGGAAATACTTAGATTTGTGCTACTTGTGAGATCAAGTTCTCCCCTGGAGAGGGAGTATGTCATCCTGGTAAATACAAGATTTAATATAAGGCTTGGATTTAGAGCACGTCAGAGACCTTGGTTTGATTCCTGTTGGTCCACTTGGCAGGGATGTGTTTTTCACTGTTCTATAATCTATAATTAAATTGTGTTAACATTATTCAAAGGTTTTTCTGTGTACTGTTGGCAGTGGAGAGTGATCCCTGTGTGATGTCAGAGACACCTGTACCAGACGTGTCCTTGTCAGCCATTTGGGACCCAACAGTGAGATCAGATGTCAAGCAATCCAAAATGACAGATCACCAACTCAATGTACTAAAGTCAGATCATCTCATACCAGGTAAATTGGAGTATGGAAATACTCAGAGTATGTTTCTAGTTAAAGTACTTGCCTTTATTACAAGCAGTTGTACATTAATATTGTTGTCCCATGGTCTTTTTGTAATTTTTTATTTATTTTTTTATTTTTTCAGGAACTCCTCTAGAGTTAGGCCTAAAGGAATCCAAAATCCCCATTATCCTCATCCAGATTCCAGGGGTTAGGTCAAAGTCCAAAGGTCAAAATGGTACAGCTCTCAGTTATGGTAGTGGATGGGACATTGTAATTCCAGCAGGATGGAGCATGGCATTCTGGGTAGCTTTTAACTACAGGTGTGCACGAGCAGGTGGACTATTGGAGTCAGAAAGTCTGGCTCATGAACAGGGAGTGTTTCACTTTCCGCAAGGTTATCCTGATACTGCTGTGGGGAGAGAGGAGGAGAGGAATCTACATCACCAGTCTATGGATATCTATAACAAGAAACCACCTGCTAAACGTCCGAATTTCACCAAGCTAGGAATACAATGCTCATTCGAGTTCCCTTGGAGCAGCCTTGTAAAGCAGTGGGCAGTCAAAGAGGAAATGCAAGAGGAATGGAATCAAACCAGGGGTTACTTTTATGTGATGAGAGACAAAGCAATCTTGAAAGAATTGAGTAAAGTTCTATCAGTGGCAGCAAATCGAAAACTATCCAAAGAAAACAAAGACAGCTTATTCACCAACATGGTATCTATATTGAGCAAGAATGATCAACTTCTAATATTTGGAAGCAAACATACAAATTGTCTAATTCCTGTAGAGATAGTTATGGTTTCCCGTGGTTGTCCTGAAAGGTTTGCAAATATATCCATTCCAACTCGTGAGGATTTGTCGCGATTAGTATCTGACCCAAAGTCTGGTGGTCCTATGGAAACAGTGCATGAAGACAAAACAAAGAAGGAAAAGAAAGACAAGAAAAAGACAAAGAAGCAAAAGTCAGATAATAGTGGTGAAAAAAATACGACAGGAATGACAGACAATTCTGGTACAGCAGGAAATGACAACAAAGCTTTGACTGATGTTCAGAGTGAAACACTTGGTGGTGATGGAGGTGGTGTTGACCTAATAGACAGCTGCAGCCGACCCCTGATTGGTTACATCAAGGAAGGAGGATTCACCCTGGGAGTCGGAAACGGTCGAGGCCTTGGATTTGTCTCTATCATTGGACTATTAAAACTTCTTGACACAATGCCACATCAACTACATTGTACAGTGTTGGTTAGGAACCCAACATCCTATCAGTACAGATATGCTCACATCAATGTTCTTCATTAAAGGAGTGAAATATTAACTTGGTTTTTCTTTTATCTATTAAGCAGGTCAGTTGCAATTGTCAATGTGCTTAGTATTTACAAAAGGATGGTTGTGGAAAAATAAGCTGGAGTGTTTTACTAATTGGGAATGATAATATTGTATAATAATCAGTCTCAAAAAGTCTTGAATTTATCTTTTAAATCCTGGCTGAATTCAATACGGAAGCCATTTTAGATTAATAATGGTAATTTGAAAACATAGCATGAATTGCACAATTCCAGAATATATCACAACATAGTTCGTTCTTTTAAATTCTACTGTCAGTTCTCACAAAAGTATCAAGAATTATAAATCATGATACATTTAAGAAGAATACACATTTTGCAGTTAGGCTAATAACTGTGTTAATGAATAACTACATATCCTGAACTACTACTATAGAAATCAGAAAATTGAGACTCCTCCAATTACCATCAAAATAAAGAATAAGCCACAATGCAGAACAGCTTTAGGTACTTTTCACAGAATTCTAAAACATTACAGCAGAAAGATTTGGTAAATCTGATATAACGAGTCTACATTGTAAAAAATTATCAAGAGGAAAATATTTTGTTTACAGTTGATGTAGCTACCTGCTGCACATTAAATCTGCCTGATGTCATCCAGAGCAAATGGGCTCAAGTGTCCTGGCCATGGACAGCATACAACAGAACATTGTGCTCGGCTTTGTAAAAGAGAACCATGTATCTGGGATCTTTACCTCAGATTGCAATATTTGATGATCTAAAAAAGAACTCAAAAGCACACAGTAACTTGGGATACTATTCATGTGCAAAGGTGATGAAAATAGGTAGAGAGAGTATAACATGAATACACACCAACAGAACCAGGATTTCAGTATTAAGTTTGTTATTGGTGTGTGATAGTATCGGTGGATAGGAATTCCTTTAGTGCCCCATTTAATCAGTTACGTGTAGTCTATGATCTACTAAGGGACAGATTTCTTTTTTTTTATATGTGAGAATGATATTTAAATTGTATTTGTCTTATTTAGCGGAGAAAGAATGCAAGTCAATTGGTAACATATAAGGGGAGATAAATCCTACAGAATTATTTCTTTTATATCAGATACATCAAATAAGTAAAATTATCCACATTTTTATCTGGTCAATATGCTTCGTTTTGATGGATATCATAGCATATTGACCACAGCTAAAATATTCTAAATTGTTAATTTCGTTAACCAGTGTTTTATGCTGATCTGCTTTAACATCTTTATTTTCTTTTGGGAACAAACAATAATTCCATTGGTCTGTATGCAGATGCAGTCTACATACCTTGTTTAGATATATAGTGCATATGAAGAATTGGAAAGACCTGTTTTACTCTGAACTTATATAAGCACAGTTAAGATTCACAGGAAGGAATGTGATTATCAATAAGTATTCGCTGGTAATATGTATACCTTTCAAATAATCAAACTTACATTTCGCCTTATTAGGACCCACATCTCTGATGTCTTGGTTAATACGAATTATCTTCCTTTCAACTTTCAATTGACGTATGGCAGCCATCTTGAAAGTGGAAAAGGTAAAAATGAGCATAGACCATTTGTGGGCATTACACAACTCATAATTAGCTATTACAGGCTGTCACATGCCAAATTCTTTTAATCCTCCAATCCAAAAATCAAGGTCTCAAACATGGGGCTCCTCACTGTACTCTGTGGCTTGAACTGCAGAAATTTGTGTTCCCTCACTGACTTTGTTTAGCATGCTGCATGTCAAATGGAATGGGACACAGGTCCAAATTTCATTTAAGGTTGTTTGTTGAGTTCTTCAACAGAGAGAATAATTTTGACACAGGTTCTGATGGCTACCTCACTGAACAACACACAGATGTTTATATCGTGTCACTAAGAGCAATTGGGGTAAAGTGTCTTGTCACAGGACCCAGCCATGACAGCACAGACCAGTCCATTTTTACAGAATTCTGAGAAAAACCTTCAGGCGTAAAGAGTCGAACCAGACGCATCTCGAATCTATACCTGACGTTCAGGAGGCTGACACTATACTGAGCTATATATTCAAAATCACACATCCTATTAACAGAAGTAGCGATAACAAAATGTTATTTACAGACTGACGAATGACGCATCATGACATAAGCTTCAAATTAAAACATGACAAAGTATAACCATGAACACATCGTGTTTTATTGGTATGAAAAAGAAAATTAACAAAATCATGATAACTTGCAGACCAAGCATCATTAGTTTGTTTACAATTTTTCATAATTACCTCATAAACAAGAAAATACTGTTTGCTAATGATAAAAAATAAAACAAAAATACATTAAGTGGGTAAATTCTGATGAAAAGCAACCGATATTTAATTCAATAAAGTTTAAATCATTCTCAATACATCCTGAAATTAACTTATAAGTGCCATTTCCAAACAGTTGTGTATCCTTTACCTAGACAGAAAACAACCTACTCTCTGGTCTGGCTTATTCTTATAAACTATTCACTTCACATATATATATATTGTAGATAAATTCATTAGTTTTTCCCCCTTCATTTTTTTTATACTGAAAGTTAAACAAAACATTGTACAACTGCGTCTAGATACAGCTTAAAGACTTGCTACATTAGTACTGAACTCACATGTCACTGCTGCCAGTAGCGGTATTTTAACAAAATGTGTACCAGTTTAGAGGAATGTGAGGTTGATATACATTGGATATTGATAACTACACAATGATGTTATATCTTCTTTAAATTTAAGAATATTGCAAATAGGTGTTCATGCGGTGCTTCTTTCTGGTAGTGCCAGATATATAAATGCAAAGTTGGTGTCTTATTGGCGATCTCTAAAATAAATCTTTGTGTTTGGTGGATGAGTTATGACATAATATTCAATTAAGCTACATCTAAGTACTTTTAAACAAATGCATGACACTAGTTGGTTTGGTATCACTACATACACGGAAAAATTGCCCAGTGATTCTTTTACCCTGGCATAAACAGCATAAAATCCAAACAATTGGTTAATGCATAAAAACATGTATTTTGGCATAAAACCCCTTTTTCATTTTCATTCTGTTGGCAAACAGGCAAAAACTACCTACAGTTAACTACAGCAAAAGTTTCCCTGTAAACAGTATACAATCAAAGTGCCTGGAAGATACTTCTGTATATTGCAAACGAACTTTCTTTTCAAGCATACTTATTTTCACAAAACAGGCTGTACTCATACTTTCATTCTATACTGAAAATGGTCTGAATGCAGATTGATTATCTTCTTTGGATCATCAGATTTGTGAATGTAAATTGCACATGAAAGAGAGTTGGTTTACAGAACAAGAGGAATGAAAACAAAAAGAATACAAATTGTAGAGTATATAGCATGACCTATCATAATAATGGGTACATCAATTATAATTTTAACAAAGATGTATACAAAGTTTACAGAAAAAAAATATGGCTACAAAAAAACAAAAAAAAAACCGCCCTTGTTCTTCATTACCTGTAGTTGTCAGTTTTCTATAGACAGGTGCATAGACTTGACATAAATCTTAAACGTTTACACAGTAATGAGGATTAGACCAAAAGGTGTTGATATAAACCTAAGTTATACATGACTGCTGTTGAATCTGACTGCTGGAATATATGATTGATTTATGACGGTATCAATGAAGTAGTTCAACCAAAGGCACACTCCTGGTAGTATCTTACAAATATGCAAATGTTCTCCTTTTTTTTGTTTTTGTTTTTTCTCAAATGAGGCTAGTTGTAAACATTCTTAATTACCACAAGATAATACAATTTCAATAAATAAATATGTTCATACAAGATCTGAAAAAGTTGCATTCAATAATATTAGTTTTTTTTCTTGTTTTTTTTTTTTCTTTTTTTTTGTCGTGATATGTCAAATGACAAAACCTTCAGATTAATTGAAATAAGTTGTTAATGAAATTCATGATGCCATTATAATCTCCAGTATATTGATTAGATCAGCGATCTTACCAACCTAAAAAACAGACATTACCTCTTGTTCTATACAACCTGTCCTGGTTTATAATAATACTATATTTTGTGTAAATGAAAAATAGATCACATTGATGAAATGTTTCTAAAGTCAAATAACTTTCCATAAATAATATCAGTGAAAATGAAAATTCTAGTAATACACTGTAACACATAACATTTTAAAACTTTATCAATCAGTTCAGGACAAACTGTTTTACCTGAACTTAATTAGCTCAAAGGTTTCAGTGTATGTTGGCTTCATACTTTGAAGATCTCTTCATTGCCTACAAAATATATACTATCAGTTACTTTTCCATCTCTCAAGATTGGAATGAGATGGCTGCCTCATATCATGTCAGGAATTTGAAAGATATCAAATCATAACAATATCAATTTATCGTATACTATTTATAATATATTATGTTTATATCGTACTGTTTGTAACTTAATCATATACTATGTATAATAAATTATCTTTATATGGTACTGTTTGTGACTCAATCGTATACTTTTTACTATTATGTGGCACAGTTTGTAACTTTAGCAAGAAAAAAATGCCAATCTTTCTTACAAATATAGAAAATCAACAGAAAACATCTCTTTAATTATCAAACTTGATGCACACTAAAAGAGTTTTCAAATCCAATTTGGAATGAATTTAGCAATGAATAAATCCAGGTGTTTGGAATGATTTATTAGTAGAAAAAAAAAATCAATGCCTAATGTTCTTATTCAATGTAGTGAAGACTTGTTTATATTTAGGAAAAATTGTATATCTTATTCTAAAACTCCATACAAGAGAAAAAAAGGTCAGGTGAGTAAAAATTGGAAAAAGACACTACTATACCTACCATTCTTAACTGACATTTAGCCTCGTCAATGATTTGTAATTGACGACAGTTGCTCGTTGAGGATTGAACCATCTCATACAACATTACCAAAAGATAAAATGTCAAACTGCTCTGTACAAAAACCTACTACCAATTACTGATTGTCAACACAAATCTTCCTTTACAGCTTCTTCATCCAAAACTACTAGACAACAATTACTAAAGAGACAAGATTTTATCTCTACCATTTGGTTGGTTGAATACAATTACTAAGGAGACAGGATATCTCTACCAGACACGATTGGATGTTCACAATAACTAAAGAGACAAAATATCTCTACCAGACATGGTTGAGTGACCACAATTGTTTTTACTACAGAGATCAGATGTGAAGTGTTCAATTTTGCATTATTTCACATAGAAAGTTAATTGGTTGCATCCAAATGCTCCCTGCCACATCGCAATAATGACATAAAAAAAGACCTCCTCGGCTGCAGTTGTATTAAACACAAAACTGTTGATCTTTCCCTTGTTTTCCCCAGAGATATGTGACTACTGAGGTTGTCATTCACTGGGGATGATTGATTCCAGAAACTCCTTTATATCTGCCATTTCCTGAAATATTGAGATACCAATTATCAGAGAAGAGAGATCATCAGATACATCTCCTGAATCAGGTTTTAATACACCCATATTTTACAGGACATATAATTGATGATTTATAGGCAGGTGACAGACACTGTCATTAATATCCTGGGAAATACATCGAAATAAAATGTAGCCAGAATGTTTTACAAATCCTCCTGATTAAGCAATGGTACCGCAATTCTGTAGAATAACATAACATATATGCATTATTAACATTAGTGTAAGTCACCCTACATATAGTTTCCCACATACCGATAGTGAAATTCTAATATAGGTCATATTAAACCTAAATATCTCCCTTCTGCCTCCTCTCCATGTATCCCTAACACCAGTAAAAGCCAAGTAAAACTAATAATTTGCAAGATGCACCAACACATCCACAATTCTTATTTTAAAATTTTCTTTTTTAACAAAGATGCAGGAGTATCAAATGTAGGTGAAAGTTAGCATCCAAAGCCTACAAACTTAATTATCATCCAAGTTTCTTCACTCATGCATGTATAAGTCCTGTCCCGAATGCATTTTCCTAGATATGAACCCCTATATAGTAAATTTTCGTAACAGGATACAAAGACAATGACAACAGGTTTAAGTTTATTTTCCCTGATATATGAATGATATACAAAAGGTGAACTTTACCTGTGCACATGAACTATGACCCATGTTGTCATAGGATTTAAAGTTGACACTCTTTGCATTGTCTGCCAGGATCTTGCTGGTCATCTGTCCATAGGTGTGTGACACCATTGGATCTACCTTACCATGCCCTTGAAACACTTTTAACTCTTTTACATATTTACTTTTTTCTATCTGAAACACAACCGTTTAAATCACAGAAATGAAAGTTTGATAACAAATGAAGTTGTTTTCATAACAATTATACACCATTAAACAAACAGTAAAAGAGGTGGTATATCTTACCTCATGTTCATGAAGACTGAAAGTGCTATATCTTACTCCTACTCACATAGATTAGGAATGAAATATCTCATCTTTTATTCACTTGATAAGGAATGGGATACCTCACCTCCTAATCACTTTGATAACGAGTGGGATATCTCACTTCCTTGTCACTTTGATAAGGAGCGGGATATCTCACTTCCTAATCACTTTGATAAGGAGTGGGATATCTCACTTCCTAATCACTTTGATAAGGAGTGGGATATCTCACTCCCTAATCACTTTGATAAGGAGTGGGATACCTCACTTCCTTATCACTTTGATAAGGAGTGGGATATCTCACTCCCTAATCACTTTGATAAGGAGTGGGATATCTCACTCCCTAATCACTTTGATAAGGAGTGGGATATCTCACTCCCTAATCACTTTGATAAGGAGTGGGATACCTCACTTCCTTATCACTTTGATAAGGAGCGGGATATCTCACTCCCTAATCACTTTAATAAGGAAACGATATCTCTCCTACTAATCACTTTGATTAGGAATAATTGAATATTTTACCATCTTTAGGGCGAGATAGAGGGATTTAAACCAGATGGGCAGATGATAAACTTATCAAGCATGATTCTTGCATCTGTAAACCACATAAAATTCATTAGTGGAATTTCTGTCACAATATGACTTCCCATTCAAAAGTAGTGAGGACAAGATTTACAAAATTGCAGCCATGGCAGTCAACTTGAATGGACATGGATCTGGATTTTGTTGAGAGCAAACTATGTACCATGCCTATACTCAATGAGGAGTGGGAGTAACCAGTAAACAATTAACCTACTAGTGTTTGCAGCTGTTAAAGTGTAAATTTTACTAATCAGACAAGTTTATAGCTATCTTATCTTGTGTTTTATGCAGCTCATATTCCAGAATCTGTATACTTTACAAACAAGTATTTATTGTAAGGTTCATGTTGCTGAGATAAATGAAATACACAAGAAAAAAATTTATCTAAGCCAATTGCATTTGGTAAAGATGTCCTATCTACAAGGTAACTATATTGCAAGTTTGATTGGAATAATGCTAGTAATTGATGAGAAATTGAGCTAACACATTACTTTAAAAATGCACTTTCTCAGCAGTTACTGCACCTTAAAAGTGACATGTTGATGACACAAGAATTGTAATACAGTCATCTCACTTTTAATTGCATGTGTTTTGAAAACCTCTGAATTGGGCTCCACTTAAAAGACACCTCTCACTATGACATATAGTGTGGTACATCTTGCCTTTTTACCTAAAGGGCTTCTTAACAGAAACATACATTCAGAAAAAAAGACTAACAGAGTTTTTATGACAGTGATATGATGATGGGACAGCTTACCTGGTTACCCATGAATTTGCCATGAAGTGGAAGCCATGTACTGAGGCCAACTAGGCCCGCAAGTTGGCAGTCTGACGTCAAGGCAGTGTACAAAGCCACTGCTCCTCCCTGAGAAAATCCTCCAATAAATATCTTTCCTGTTGATATACTTTTTGCTTCTTCTTTTATCAAATCTTTCACTAAAAATCAATGAACACGATTATGTATTGTAGGCATCAAATGAAAATCATTTGATCATCAAAATCAGAAAAATGAAGATTTTATCTGATGTTCTATTACATTTAACTCAGTATAGGTAAGCCTCTGGTTAATTCCAATAAGCAGAAAGTTTAAAACATGTGTTTTTTTTCTCAATAAAAACAATAATTTTTCAGATAGTGCTGGATAACCCTTCCTTTTCTAGTTTCACCTCTCATTCAAATTGTTCAAAAACATGATGTGATCTAACGTATGCCTACCTATTGATAGGGATTATTGCCCCTTGTGGTCAGTAATCACATCAACAGTAAACACTGTGAGTATCTACTTAAGTTTCTGACTCAGGCAATTACACACTTATACATGTCATTTAATTAGCATTGTATGCCTACCTACTGATAGGGATTATTGCCCCTTGTGGTCAGTAATCACATCAACAGTAAACACTGTGAGTAGCTACTGTAAGTTTCTGACTCAGGCAATTACACACTTATACATGTCATTTAATTAGCATTGTATGCCTACCTACTGATAGGGATTATTGCCCCTTGTGGTCAGTAATCACATCAACAGTAAACACTGTGAGTATCTACTGTAAGTTTCTGACTCAGGCAATTACACACTTATACATGTCATTTAATTAGCATTGTATGCCTACCTACTGATAGGGATTATTGCCCCTTGTGGTCAGTAATCACATCAACAGTAAACACTGTGAGTATCTACTGTAAGTTTATGACTCAGGCAATTACACACTTATACATGTCATTTAATTAGCATTGTTTGTGTGGTTAGTTGGTGTAACAGTATTTCACTACAAATTTTGGTAAGATTATCCCACCAAGACTATCCCTATTTATTATATCAAACTAATAATTAGTAGACAAAGGATATGTGCAGCAATGAGATAATTGTAATAAACATTTATTCGTACACAATAAGTCTAAATCTGCACTCCTCATTCTGATTTGTCAGTGTAGCTCTTACTAATACACAAGCAGACATGGTTTTTTCAGCTTTCATGGTTACTTCATCAGAATATGATGTGACGAAGAACAAATTTTTCTCAAGTACCTGGTACGTGTATTAAGAGATAAGTATACCAGGTATTATAATTGACACATTTCTTAATATTACGCTCAGGCCATGGTCTTTTCCCTGATCAGTAGTTTCCTGTTTTGCTAGCTGTTGTGATTTTCGGCAAAATCAACCTTTATTGTTCATACTCCAATTCATTTTCACAAGATAATTTCATATATATCTAAACAGGTTTGACTCTATTTCTTGTTTGGACTGATTGATGGCTTACCCTATTTTCCACTGTGTTGAACTGATGAGGAGAAAATGCTTATGATTGTTTCATGTATTTTGTGTGTTCTTAATTTGTGAGGTAAAATTTTAAATCTATCTCAAATATTAATACTTCCAAATTAAACATGAAATAATCAGATATATATATCACCTTCGATGTTCACCTTTTAGTGTTCACACAAACAACAACAGAACCAAGTCACTACAACATGATGGGATCTAGATAGTGTATACAGATTATGTTTTCTCCACTCTTCCAATCCGAGTCTTTGAAAACACCCCAAAGGTTGAGGAAGGAGAAGTTCTTTTCCTACCACTTACATTCTTGTGATGCTTTTTTAATTCCATCTTCATCCTGCCTTGCTTCAGGATCTAATCCATATATATCAAACCTGTATCAGAAATAAAGATAGAGACCTGTTTCTGTGTACAAAGACCAATTATTGATATTTATTTTCTCAGTGTGTTTAGGCGTAACTTGGCATTGGAAATTTCAATATCTATGGATATACATAAGTTAAGTCAGTATCAATACATATGATACAATGTCAGAATTGAACCTTATAAAGGACATGATCAGTAATCAATCTTAAATGTCACATTATCCACAGCGAAAAAGAATCATATCATACGAACATGATTGTTACAGAATGATAATCTAAAACTTACCAAGAAGGCATAGGCATACCACCATTTAAGGTTACTTTTCGTATTTGCCTGGAAATAAAAATATCTTTTATAGTAGACATGTTCTGGTGTAAATGAATAGGAAACTTTTAACATTTGAAAACAATATAATTATCGTGTCTGGTGCAAAAAAATTATAGCACATTGAAAGGTACAAGTTCAAAAACTCATCCATTGATCTATAAATACTGTATTTAAGGTTTCAAACCTAGTACTCATCTGCCAGAGAAAATTATTCATGTTATCTAGAAATGGGAAGAGGGAACACTTCTAAATTATTGTCACAGCTTTTCAATTCAAACTGTACGTCTATACAATTGGACTTGAATAAAAATTCTAGGCAAATAATGAGATTAAGATTTATAAAACATGTACCAGCACAGGCAATCATAAAATCTTCTGCTTTCCAACAATAAATCTTCATGGCTTGTTGCACTTCTTGACATTTGCTATACTACAATTACATTTCTATGAAATACAGGTTGTAATTTGTCATACTTACGAAGTAGGGCACACACATTTGATGTTAGACATATTAAGTTGAGCAAATCCTTGTGCCCAGCCATGTCTACAAAACAAAATTCAAATCATGGAAATTTACTTTCCAAAGAGGAGCAAAAAATCATAATAACACTTCAAATCTGGTGCTTATTTCATTGTACAGTAAAAACCATAATACCATTTGTCAGAGGAAATGTGATAATACCCAGAATGTGACATTAACAGTTGCAATTTTTTTTGGACCTATAAATCTGGAAGTGAACTTTCTGGTGGGCCAAACTGACTTGTTTCTTACAGAACTTGTTTGAAAACAAAATATTTGTAATAGGCTTTATTTCTCCATTGAATACAGTATTTTAAAAAAAAAATTCCAATTAGTAATATTTCTAAAAAACATTTACAGTATTTCATTAAAACATGCAATCTGCTATCATCATGATCAAGAACGATAATACCATAGTTACCATATACATGGACAAATTATGTGATAGTTTTGGCTGCCCATGTGTTCATGTCATCAGCTGATATCATGCCTCAGAATTCATTCACATCACCCTTAATGTTGAAACATGTAAATACAGAATGCATCTCTGCAAACTACATTACATTTATTTTTTTAAGATTTCCTTTGCGCCAACAAAGATAGCTACCTACCAAGTGATACACTGTTCACCTTGAAATATCACGTTTCATTTGCTGTTATAATAATGGTTATTTTTAACGACCAATAGGAAGTGGTGAAACACAGCATTGAAAAAACTCAGAATTTTGCTTTACTTTTTATAGATACCTCATGATATTTAAAACAACGAATGACTTGAATAAAGATCAGAATGACGATGTTCTTACATTGTGACCGAATAGACTTTTTATCTTCAACTTTTATACGAGAAGTTATATGCCCTCAACAGAATGTTTTGAAAAGTTTACTATAATGTATAAGTAAACATTTTTCCAAATTTTTGTGTTGAAGATGATTTAGGACCATAAAAAGCTGTAAGTGTGAAAAACCTCTTATTAAAGATTATTGTTTTTATCAAGGTCACCTAGGTGAAAGCAACTTATGAGTTGTATCCTGTATTTCAACAAATGACTTACGAAATTAAATATATTGTAACCAATGTGTTTTTGATTATTAGCAATAACTATTAATGTTTTATTTGATTTCTGTTGACATGCATTATGTAATGTTGCTCAGTATTTGTACATATGTCTATATAGACAAAACAGGCATCATTATTGTGTGTAATCAACCATGACATACACATTTCACTCTAGTTTTGACCGCTGATTGTTTTACCTCTGTTTTATTAAGATTACTCAACCTTGTATAAGAGCAGCAGACACTAATTTATTGTTTTCTTTTTTTCTCTCGCCTTTGGACAATGATCATTAGTAGACAATTATTTTTAGTATGATTACTACATAAGGACCATGTTGGCTTTGCCAATAAGCAATTGCCGGCTTAACTTGACCAGTTTTAGGGAATAGCAGCAAGGGGGAATTGGCTGGATGCCAAGTTTGATGGAGTAATGCCAAGAACCTGGAGCTGGGTGACAACGGCATTGTGTCCTTAGCAATTCCAAATCAGACGTGAGGGTGATGGCCAAATAGCCACAAGGTGGGGGAAGGTGGGGTTTCCCTAGAGCTGAGCACTTAATGTTAAAAACAACTGTAATAACACTGAAATTATCCATCAAACTTATTTTGGTCACATGTTGTTTGACCCTGAAAGTACATTACAATGATTACTCAATGGGTTACAAGTACAAACCCAACATTTCTCAATTTACTTACCCAGTATCCCCCAAGCCGTGTAGGAAAATCAACTGCAAAAAGAAAGCAAAAACATCTATAAAAATACCAACAATATTAATGGAATGGTAATATATACATACAGATGTGGCCCTGAAAATCAAATTTTTTATGTTACATCTTACTGAAGGTAATGGGGCTACAACACCATTTGTACTTGTATTATTACAAAACTGAATTAAAAGAGAAGGATTTATAATCCAAATTATTCAAAACTTCATAACATAAGGACATTTTTCTTTTCTTTGCCATTTTTCCAGGTTACAATAGGTGTATTGGTAAACATACATTTATTATATTGTCAGAATAACATGATTTTATGTAAACGCCCTCCCTAAGAGACCATGATGTTCTGTTCCAATGTCTCCAGTCTGTCTTATTCTCCCTAAGACTATAGTTTTGCTTCAGACACAATGTATAACCTGGCTTCTAGACACTGTTGCCATATGACCTTGATTGTAAGATGCAAGTTATAGAAACACAAAAACATTTATCCATGCATCCTTGAAACAAAGATAGACAATTGAATTTGGATGAAGGTATGATATGGCTTGCTTGGCTCTTCATAGATGAAGCAACGCTGACATCTAAGTTGGCAATTGCTGTCAACATCTCAGCCAAATTGGACTTTGGTACTGATGCATTAAAATATTTGTTACCTACTCCATATAGATTACTTATTGAGCTTATAGCAAGAAAAAAATTCAGTTCAGAGACCTCAAATTACACCACAGTTCAACATCTAATAAATTATTAACATTTAAAAGGAATCTGTTTTAAAAAATGGAGAAAATGCTAACCTGTGTAAGGTTTCAGACAATGTCGAACAGAATTACTCTTTCAAAAAGGGCTGTAATGCAATATTACTTAAGGAGCTCATCTCCATATCAAATAGCACTTCATACAACATTTTATTCATTTTTCAAAATAACAGTCAAAACTCTTTCTTTCTCTCTCAAAGAAAAAAAATGAAAGGCAAAATCACTTTAGGGACATAAGACCATATGGTACTGGAACTTCACACAGAATGTATAACAAATAAATTGGTGAATGAGTGAACATTAAGCGAGTTTATTTTTCAGATAAAGGGACAAAACTCCCTTCAATAACTCTCTCTCTAAAATAGTTTTTTATAAAAAAATAGATGAAATGCAGGAGGCTTAACTCCATTTAATACTGGCCTTTTGCATAAAATTGTAAAAAAATCCTGAAAACTCCAAATGAATAGCTGGACAAAATTTGTCTATTGAAAAAGAGTATTTCATTTTTTTTCTTCAAAAAGGTAATTAAATCAACATTAAAAGACTTAATCCTCTTTCATAGAGACAACTACTAAAACAATAAACAAAATGATGAAAAGTAGTAGTGCTAAAATTTTTGATGTCATTTTTGATAGATTTTGTGACAAAGTTTGTGAAAAAGATATACCAAGCAGTTTCAGTAGATCTTAAATCCTGTTATAACTTATCAAAGATAACTATGTAATTACAATATACCAAGTCTTAATAATAAAGATAAAGAACACTTGAGCCTACATCCACCACTGAAGTAAATCAATACACCAACACCATTAACCTATCCATTAACATTATGATGGGTTTTCTTTGTCACTCACATCCAATTCCTGACAGTGGTCAACGCTTAATTATCAACAGTCCACAGTAAAATGACACACAAAATCATTGATTGGTTTAAACCACATGCCAAGAAAACACCTGTATACCTTATATATCAGCACAATTACTAAACAAAAATGTATATATATAAATATACAAAAGATAAGGGTGTGTTCATAACAGAATAACACACCACAGCAATAGTTAAAAGTGGGCTTAGTACAGAATTATACAAAACAGCAACAGTAAAGGGTGGGCTTATAACAGAATTACACACCATCGCAAAAGATAATGGTGGGCTTATAACAGAATTACACACCACTGCAATAGATAAGGGTGGGCTTATAACAGAATTACACACCACTGCAATAGATAAGGGTGGGCTTATAACAGAATTACACACCACTGCAATAGATAAGGGTGGGCTCATTACAGAATTACACACCACTGCAATAGATAAGGGTGGGCTTATAACAGAATTACACACCACTGCAATAGATAAGGGTGGGCTCATTACAGAATTAAACACCACTGCAATAGATAAGGGTGGGCTTATTACTGAGTTCCATACACCTGAAATAGATAATGGTGGACTTATTACAGAATTAAACACCACTGCATTAGATAAGGGTGGGCTTATTACAGAAGTAAACACCACTGCAATAGATCAGGGTGGGCTTATCACAGGATTCTACTTAAAAACAATAACTGTACAATTGATAAGTGTGGGCTTATTATTATAGGGTTCTACCTAACAATAAGAGAACAGGGTCAGCTTATTGTCAGATAGGTTAACTGTGCACAGTAATAGAATGACCAAATTTCAAATAAAACAAGAAAATATCTTAACTTACAAACTGCAATATTCTTCTTTAATTATAATGAATTAATCACCCTAGCAAATTGTTATTCATTGCATTGATCAAAACTATAAAATTCTGCTGCAAGATTTTGTACAAAAATGGTAACACATGTACAACAAAACAGGAAACATTGTATCACTGCTCCTGCAACTCAGTGGAATGGATACATTGGTGGAATGTCACAATGAAAATTAAAGGACGAGTTGTCTCTACAACCTGGTGCCAGTATATCTATATTTTGTTGCTGAGGTATACCCACATAAGTTGATTATAAAGGGAGACAACTATGGAGAAACAGAAGATAAAACTTGGAGATAATAGTAAATGATGTAGGGTATGTGTATGTTATACACAACAGATTGACTGCCCCGCCAATTCTAGTCACGCATTTAACAAAAGATGCGTTAAGACTATTGACTCATGACTTCAGCCTTTATTTGTTGTCCATCAATTCACCATCAGAGTCTGTAATACAATAAGAGAGATTCAATGATGTGGCCAATAGTTACATATCAGAAAATCAATATGACAAATAAGACACTGCTTTTCTGAAGACTGATGTTTTAGCTTTGCGGACTCAAGACCAGAGGTTGATGGAATAAAGGCTTGATAGAATTCTTTGATGGTGATGATGTTCTGTCACATAAACAGTGGCAAGATAAAGACCAACAGGGAATTTCTCACTCCACACCGTACAAGTGTCATGTCTGCTGTGTCCATGGCATGTACACCTCAACCAAGATCTTTAGTCTAGTACACCTTTCACATGTACACCTCAACCAAGATCTCTAGTCTACTACACCTTCCACATGTACACCTCAACCAATATCTTAAGTCTAGTAAACCTTTTTTAAGTACATGTACACCTCACCAAGACCTACAGTTTAGTAAACCTTTTTTAAGTACATGTACACCTCACCAAGACCTAAAGTTTAGTAAACCTTTTTTAAGTACATATACACCTCACCAAGACCTACAGTTTAGTAAACCTTTTTTAAGTACATGTACACCTCACCAAGACCTAAAGTTTAGTAAACCTTTTTTATGTACATATACACCTCACCAAGACCTACAGTTTAGTAAACCTTTTTTATGTACATATACACCTCACCAAGACCTAAAGTTCAATAAACCTCCTACATGTACATCTCCACCTCACCAACAGTCTCCTGAACTTCTTACAGCTTCTATAATTATCAAATGAATGAAATTCTTTCATATATCACTAGGAGACAGTTTAGTAGACTTACTCAAAATAGTTTAACCAACTATTTTAGTAACTTTACCACAAACGGCAGGTCTTCTGAAGGAAGCAGTATAACTCACTTGTATACATTTGGTGTACAGTAAAATCCAATTGTAATAATATAACAAAGTATAATTATATGTATCAGTAATTAATGCCTCTTTAGTTAACAAGGGGCCAAAATAATAGATTATCAGACATTTCAACCTTGTGTCGTTCCTTGACTGTTTTTGATTTTTCCCAAGGAAATCAAAATCATAGGTTGTCCTATGTTGCTATGTCCTTGGGTTAAACACTTTACATCAATTGTTTTGACAGCATGTGGCGGGCCCCCCACATGTTGTTCAGTAAGGTAGTCAACAGCCACAAGAAGACAGTCCCAAAATGGCTGTTAAAGGGGTGATGAACCTAGAAACAAAACTCTGCATGCAGGCACAATGGGTCTACATGGTATGTTTGTCAATGGAGATGTTACTTGTAGGTGTTACACACACTCTCTAGCACTATTCGACAGGTATATGGTAGTCTATAGCATGAATACACTTGAAAGCATTTTCTATGAGACTTTTTATGGTCTAATGAAACACAAGTGTCCTCCATTTTAGACTTCAGTATTGATTTTAGACAAAAGTGGATGCATTTGTACTCTCAATCCCCATCAATGTACAATACATGGTGACCTGGTACATAACTGTGTTCCATTATACTATAATAATGGCACCAAACAGGTCTCAGGAATACATTATTTGCTTGCGTTTAGATCCAGCTTTATGGCTTTATTTCTACATAAAAAAATTCCTTGTCTGAATGCAGTACAGATCCACAGCAGAGGGCTAATCAAGAAAGGAAAGGAAGCAACAGCACAATCATTGTATAAGGAATTGAGAGCAATATTATAACCGAAAAAGAGTTACTAATAATCAGATATTAAGGATTTGAAAAAAAAAAAAAAAAAAAAACCAGAAAGATTAATGTTAACTACATATAAGGCAATAGCAGTAATTGAGTTTTTACCAAGTTTACCCCCAGGAGAAGATTCCAATTCTAAGCTGAGGTTTTGCAGAGGTTAGATGGTAAAATATCTCCTCTGTATCTGGTATATCTGAATACAAGTGCATCTTGTATAATCAGTCTGTTATGTTTGGTAGGTTTCTCACCCTGTGACAAACCCACGGTGGAGGTGGAGTCTCCTTGTAATAGCTGGTAGCTACCTTACTGAACAAGACACAGGAGGCTCACCACATGCCATTCAGAAAAAGTTCAGTAAAGTAACTTGCCTAAGGGCAAAT